AGCAGTTGAGCAATGGGTTGCGAGGCTGCCCACAGCCTCTGCAACACCGGTTCGATCCCCGGCTGCTCCCCGGCCACCGGAGGAGGGTCCCACATGGCGCGCAGACCTCTCCTGCCGGCCGCTGCTCCCCTCAGCAGTGTCCTTCGGTCCTTCTGCCTGCTCTGCTCCCCGCTCCGGCTCTGGGGAATTCTCTCACCCTCCCGCGCTTCTGACTGTACCCAGTGCTTGTATAAATAAATAAAAATAAATCTTTAAGAAAAAAAAAAAGAAATTAGGGGAAAAAGCCAATGTCAGGCGGGATTAACAAACCCCAAATTGCCTCTTTAAAAGGACTACATAGGAGGGCCTCCCTGGTGGCTCAGCGGTTGAGCGCTGGGTTGCGAAGCTGCCCGTGGCCTCTGCGACGCCGGTTCGATCCCCGGCTGCTCCCCGGCCACTGGAGGAGGGTCCCGCATGGCGCGCAGACCTCTCCTGCCGGCCGCTGCTCCCCTCAGCAGTGTCCTTCGGTCCTTCTGCCTGCTCTGCTCCCCGCTCTGGCTCTGGTGGATTCTCTCACCCTCCCACGCTTCTGACTGTACCCAGTGCATGTATAAACAAAACAAACAAACAAACAAATAAATAATAATAAAAAAAAAAAAATGCCTCTATAAAAAGAAAAAAAAAAAAAAAGACTACATAGGAGGCCCCGAGAATGACCCCCCCAGCTCTGCCTGGGCAGCACACCCTGCCAGGTGCCCACCTCCAACATCCTGGCACAGCAAGGAGGTGGACAGGTGGGGGCAGGTCTGGCCCCACCCACGCGCCCTCACCACGCCTGTCCCTGCCCGCTGCTCCCGCCCTGTCTCCACCTGCCCACGACACACCCCACCCACACTCGCCCTGCAGGGGTGGGGAGCTGCGGGTGAGGAGGCCCCTGGAGGTCCCCTGCAGCGGGCAGTGGTGCATGGCCCCGCGGAGCCCAGGCACTGGCCCAACCAGCACCTGCGTGTTCCCACATCTGCCCCAACACCAGGTGCAGCTGGTTTAGAGGAAAACCTGTCACCTGCCTAGAGAGCAGGTCAGCGCATTTGTGCAGAAGTTTCAGATAATTTCACGTGGGAAGCTCCCGAGAGCAAATCCGGATGATAAAGTGAAACCAGAAAAACAGAGACTAACCCTGTTTAGAAACAAAAGAAACACTGAATCCATCAAAACACACGAAGTGAATAATTGTGCCAAATCACGCTCATTCCAGGAACGCAGGGACACCGTCATGACGGCTCGCAAACGCTGCCGTGGACAGCATGTGGGCACCTTCACCGTCGCTGCAGGCGTGTGGGGCCTGAGCTGACACGCACCACTTTTTAAATTGAGGTAAAATTGGATCCCACGAAATTCACCATCTCAGCCCTTCAAGTGCAAATGCCGGGCCTCCCTGTGGCACAAGGGATTAGGCACAGCGCTGTGAGACTGTCCGCAGCCTCTGCAGCACAAGTTCAATCCCAGCCAGGGAGCTGCCCACAGGGCACAGCAGACCTCTCCTGGCTCACCCGCTGCTCCCCTCAGCAGTGGGTTTCCGTGGATCCGCCTGTTCTGTTCCCCACTCTGTCTCTGGTGAATCCTCTCACCTGCCCATCTCTGGCCTGTACCCCACTTCTTGAATGCATAAATGAAAGAAAAAAAGAAAAATGAAGTGCAAGTGCAGGGGCTTCCGGTGCTTTCCGCCGTCAGCTCTGCCACCTGCAGCCACTGCCACCCTCAGGGGAAGCCACACCTGAGCCCCTCCCCGCCAGGCGCTTCTGGGGTTCCCCGCCTGCACAGCGTGTCCCTGGGCATGGGCGCTCCATTCACCCCGGGTCGGCTCTCGTGCCCATCTGGGGCCAGCCTGCCCGTCGGGCCTGGAGGCTCCGGTGCTCCTGCTGTTTGCGTGGCACTGCCACTGAGGGAGCCCCTCTGCGGGTCCCTGCGTCTGCTCCGGGTCCTCCTCACAGCTCTTAGCGCTCCCCGACGCTGGGGTCCCTTCTCAGCTCGGACAATGTCTGTTGTGTCCTTGGCGGTAGCCGAGCAGACCCCAAGCAGCGGCCTCAGCCCATGGGCAGCTCTCCCCGTGCCCCTGCACATGCCTGCGCGATGCCCTCTAATGGGAGCGAAGGCGCCTCCAACCCAAGGCAGCTCCCTCCGGTTGGCCAGGGGCACTGTGCTTGGCCTGTGCCGGCCCCAGAGCACGACATGGTCTCTGGCACTTCCAGGGTTCAGCTTCTGCGCCTTCAGCTTGAGCACCAGCACGGGGCGCCCATGGAGCCTCACCGGGAGCGAGCGCAGGGCTTCCCGCCGAGTCCCGCCGGCTGCCAGCGTCTCCTTCACTCTCCACCCGCCTTCGCGGGAGCAGGGAGCTGGAGCCTCAGCCTTGCGGCAGTTCCTGGGTGTGGGTCCACCCGCTGTCCTCGCGGCTCTGTCTGTCCTTCATGCACCAAGCGGGGCCTGGGCGCCCACAGGCGCACCCCCATGCCTGACTCCCGCTGCAGCCGCTGGAGCCCTACTCAGCGCTTCCAGACTGGCTTCTCCAACCTGTCGCGGGCACGTCTGGATTCTTCTGGGTGTGTTGGTCTCTGCTCTCCAACACCGTCCCCTCCGAGTCCTCACCGGGGGGCCCTCCGCCCCGCCCCCCAGCCCCGGGAGGTGTTCCTCGGCTAGTGACAGCCTTGGGCCTTCTACACACCCAGGCTGGACCTCAGGGGCAATTAACCACCCCACCCCGGAGGCAGGCCCCCAAGGCAATGGGCTTCTAGCGGGGTCCCCTCTCCCCAAGGCACCGGCCTGGTGGGAGGGCACGGGTGCTCAGTGAGCCTGGCCCTCCCTCTGGAACCAGCTTGGCCGCCAGGGCAGGTGGACGCCAATGGCCTCACCACCCACCCTGAGCAGCAGCTACCCTGAGCCCGCGGACACAGCAAAGGGATCCCTTGGAGCCGTATCCCTGGCGCCGGCACCACCCCCTTCCAGAGACTGCCCCAGAGGACCCTAGCCCTCCGCCCCGCTGTGAGGAGCTGAGCAGGTCTCCCCCGTGGAGCAGCGGCCCTCAGCGAGACCCAGGCCCCTTTCTGCCCAGCCTGTGCAGACAGCCCTGTGAACACCGGGGAGGGGGTGCTGAGCAGGCTGCGTCTTCAGCTGGGGGGATCTGGGGTGACTTCTTACACCGTAATAATGCTGGGCCTCCATGGGGGCCTGGCCAGGGAGCTACCCAGGGCGCAGCAGACCTCTCCTGTCTCCCCGCTGCTCCCTCAGCAGTGGATTTCAGTGGATCTGCCTGTTTTGCTCCCCACTCTGGGGAGTCCGCTCACCCCTGCACCTCTGGCCTGTACCCCAGCTCTTGTGTGCAAAAAAAAAACACCCCGAAACAAACCTTAAAAGAATAGCTGATGATGCCACATATAAACTCTTAAGTTACTGGTTATTTTGAGACTGAGGCCACTTGGTCAGTGTCTGACTCTTGCCGCCAGGCTGAGTTCTGACCCCCCCCCCCACGTGTGTGCCCCAGGCCTTGCTCTCCGCACGGAAGAGCGAATTCTTGTTTCATTTTATTTTTCAGCTTCAGGCTCAACAATTCAGCATCTAAGTGCTCCCTCCCCTGACGACTTTGGGCGTGGCCTGCCGGGGCGCCCTCCCGTCTGCCCACGCCCCGGCAGGCCCCGGGGCCGACTTCTTCCAGGAGCTTCCCCTGGAGTTGGGGCCTTGGGACGCCCCCATCCGGGCTTGGCCTCGGCAAGTCTCTGTCCAGACACACTGGAGGTGGGGGTGTGGGGTCCACCCCCGCCAGGGAGCACGGCAGCCCCAGCCCCGCGGGCGGCAGGAGCCGCTCCCGGCTGTTGGGAGGTCACGCCCCTGCGCTCCCCGGTACGGGGTGGGCGGCCCCCAGAGTGCAAGCAGCCCCCCCCACGCAGCAGCCGGCATCGGAGGCCCGGCCCTGCGGACAGGCCACCTGGCTCCCCTCCCCGGGGCTCGGTGGTGAGCGGCGCCCACCCCGCCCGCCACGCCCGAGGGCAGCCTGGGGCCATCCGGACAGACCTGCTGGGCCCGCGCCGTCCCCGGGCTGGGCCCGCGGTGCTGCAGCTCAGCCCCGGCCACCGCCCCGCTCACCCTCCGGGCGGCCCCAGGCCCGGCCCCAGCGGCACGCCCGGCCGGGTCAGGCCCTGGAGAGAGGACGCTCGGCCGCAGCCGGGGGCGCGGCGGGGACCGGCCGGCCGGCCGCTCTGCTCGCGCTCACCTCCTTCCCGGCGGGGCCCGCGGCCGGGGCCCCGCGCGCACGGGAGGGCGGGGGCCGCAGCTCGGGCTCGCTCGCGTCCAGCCCCGGGGAGCGCGCCTGGGCCTCAGCGCGGCGGGCCGCGCGCGGGGGCTGTGCGGGCCGCCGGGGGCGGAGAGGCCGGCGGCCTCGGGCCGCCTCTGCCTCCCCGCGTCCTCGGCCCGCGCGGCCCCCCCCGCGGGCGGCCGGCCGGGGCTGTCTCGGCGGCCGCGGGGGCGGCGCGTGCACGGGAGGCCGCCCGTGCTCGGGGCCGCCGCCTGCCCCGGGGCCGGCCGGCCCGGCGGGGGGGACCCGGCGCGCCCCGCTCGGGAGGCGCCCGCCCGCGGCCGCGGCGGCGCGGGGCCCGGGGCCCGGGGCGGGGAGGGCGGCCCGCGGCCGGCGCGCAGCCGGGCAGGTGCGCGGGCCGGTGCGCGGGCCGGTGCGCGGGCCGGGCCGGGCCGGGGCGCGCGGCGGCGGCGGCGGGCGGGGCGGGCGGGGCGGGCGGGCGCGCCCTGCAGCCGCCCGCGTGCGTCCGCGCGGCGCCCGCGCCTGGAAACAGGAGACCAAGCGCCGGAAGCCCCGCCCGCGCGCGCCGCCGCCTGTCCCCGCCCGCTGGAGCGGCTGCTGGCGCGGCGCGGCGCGGCTCGGCACGGCGGCGCCCGGGCGCAGGCGAGCGGGCGGAGCAGCGGACGGCGCCCCGGCCGGCCCAGGCGCCGGGCTCGCGGCGGAGCGCGCCGGACTCGACGGGGCCCGCGGCCGCCCGCGCCTTTCAATGGGCAGCTCGCACTTGCTCAACAAGGGCCTGCCGCTCGGTAAGGCCGCGCGCGCGCATTTCCGGCCCGGGCGGGGCGGGGCGGGGCGGGGCGGCGCGGGGGCGGGGCGGCGCGCGGCGCTTTGTGTGCGAGTGCGCGTGCGCGCCGCGCCGCGCGCCGCCGCGGGGGCGGGGCCGGGGGCCGCCGCGCGCGGGCGCGCCGGGCCGTGTGCGCGGCGCATGCGCCGCCGCGCCGTCACGCCCGCCCGCCCGCCCGCCCGCCCGCCCGCGGCCCGCAGGTGACACAAAGGGGCGCGGGGCTGGGCCGCGGGGCCCGCACCCCGGCTCCGCCGCACCTCGGGCCCTCGGACCCCGGGCCCCGGGCCCTGGCCCCCTCAGAGCCTGGGGCCCCGGACTCCTGCAGCCCCGGGGCCGCCAGACCCCAGCGCGGCCCTCAGCGCGGGACTCCTGGTCCCGGTCGGCCGTCGGCCCCAGCCGCGCGGGCCAGCAGCCCCCCAGCCCCCAGCGGCGCGGGGCCAGCAGCCCCCCAGCCCCCAGCGGCGCGGGGCCCGCAGCCCCCCAGCCCCCAGCCCCCAGCGGCGCGGGGCCAGCAGCCCCCCAGACCTCAGACCCCAGCCGCGCGGGCCAGCAGCCCCCCAGCCCCCAGCCCCCAGCGGCGCGGGGCCAGCAGCCCCCCAGCCCCCAGCGGCGCGGGGCCAGCAGCCCCCCAGACCTCAGACCCCAGCGGCGCGGGGCCAGCAGCCCCCCAGACCCCAGCCCCGCGGGGCCAGCAGCCCCCCAGCCCCCAGCCCCGCGGGGCCAGCAGCCCCCCAGACCCCAGCCCCACGGGGCCAGCAGCCCCCCAGCCCACAGCTGCGCAGGCCAGCAGCCCCCAACCCCCAGCTCCCAGTCCTGCAGGGCCAGCAGCCCCCAACCCCCAGACCCCAGCCCCACGGGGCCAGCAGCCCCCCAGCTCCCAGACCCCAGCCCCGTGGGGCCAGTAGCCCCCCAACCCCCAGCCCCACGGGGCCAGCAGTCCCCCAGCTCCCAAGCCCCCCAGCCTGGCCATCAGCTCCCATCCCCAGCTTGGTTGTCAGCCCCTGGCCCCCGCCTGCCCTGTCTTGGGTGCTCCCACCTGCCCCCCGCAGTAGCACGAACACGATTAGGGCAGAGAACTTGCTTGAAGGACACAGCTGTCTCCTGAGGACCGCAGAGTGAAGGGCAGGAGCGGCCTCTGTTCCAGCAGTGCCCAGACCTGGCCCCTTTGTGACCAGGCCCCCACCCTCCGGCCGCCTCAGCACACTGGGCTCTGCTGGACGGGGCGCAGGAAGCGGGGCTGCCCCAGGCAGCCTGTGCCAGGCGGCTGCTGGGGCTGCCACAGACCTTGGGAAGGGAAGTGGTCAGCTGCCCCTCAGCGCCCTCTGGGCTCCTGAATAACCCAGTCTCTGAATCGCCCGGAAGCACCCCATGGGTGGGGAACGCGGAACCAGGCGGGGGAGTGGCGGGAGGCTGGGGCTGTGGGTGGCTGGCCGCCCCCGCCCCGTGCCCAGCAGCACAGCCAGCACGGCTGGACCTAGCTGTGGTACGCCATCTTGCACGTTTTGCGGTTCCCTGTCAGTTGGGGAGCTCAGGCTGGGCCCCCGGTGGGGAAGACAGTTAGGGGTGCGGCCAGGGAGAGGGCAGCCAACCCGGGTGGGCCAGTCCCCCAGCTTCCTCCCTGCCCTCCCCCACTGCAGCCCAAGCCCACCTCGTCAGGACCCGTTTCCCTGAGGCCTGGCCAACGCACCTGGGCCACGGCTGGGAGGCCGGGGCATCCTCTGGCCGGGTGCCCAGCCCAGCACTTTGCCCGGGACGGGCTGAGCTCTCTGCCTGCCCAGAGGGGCAGCCTCATGGAGAAGCCCCAACCTGGCCAGAGACAGGCCCTGGACTGCCATGTTTTCGCAGTGGGTCGGGCAGGGAAGGGGCACCACGCCCAGGGGACGAGCTGGCCTGGCTCCTGCCAGTCTCCCGAGGGAGTGGCCAGGCAGGTGAGCCCCGGCTGCTCCCGGTCTGGGCTGGCTGGAGAGCCCAGTGTCCACGGCGCCCCCGCCTCACTGCCCCTGCCCTTCTGTCTGAGCCCTCCGGTAAGCCGTGCCAGGCCCGGGTTGGCAGGCGGGCGGGTCAGCTGCATGGGCGCCGGGCACCCTTGCCCTCTCTGTGGGCGGCTGCTCGCATGGCCCGTGTGTCTGACGTGGGGCCGCCGGGAGCCTGGGCCCCGTGGCCGGGCAGGTGGCGCCGTGACACAGTGACCTTGGCGTGTGTCCACTTGCAGTTGGGGTGTCTCGTCCCCCGTCTCCAGCTTGGGGGGCCAGGTTGGGCCCTGGGGGTCCCAGGGCACATCTGGTGCTGGGTCCTGTTCTGTGGCCCGGTCAGGCCTGCCCCTCACCTGCTCATTTTCCGTGGAGCTGCTGGAGGGCGGGGCCCTTGTCTATCGGCCCTGTGGGGAGTGTCCAGGGAGCCGGTGTAGGTGGGGAGCGAGCGGGGAGCCCCACCCGGTGGGCATCCAGGCGAGGCTCAGCCCCACCCCACCAGGGGCCTGGGGGGAGTGCAGCTGGGGGTGCCAGGCCTGGAACGTGGGGTGGAGGCCGGGCACTCGGGGCCCTGGGCTGCTGATCGCGCCGAGGGGCTGGGCACTGAGGCCTCGGGGCCTGCATCCCCTGCGAAGCCAGGTCACTGAACGTGGCCCGAGGGGACCCATCTGTACTGCCGCCGGCCCCTGTGACCAGCGTCCTGTCACTGCCCGGGCAGGCCTGTGGAGCCCGCGCTACGGAGCGGCGGGAGCCGGGTCTCGCCTCTCGAGGAAGGAGCCACTCGGCCCCTCGCTGGGGCTCTGCCGCTGGGGCCGCCCTCCTGCCTCGCTCGGCCGCCTGGGTGCCCACGGCTCCTCGTGAGGGCCCCCCCTGCCTCTTGCCACCGGCAGGGCCGGGCCCGGGGCCTGAAGGGGTCTCGGCACCCGGTCGGTGCGGCCGCCTGCGCCAGGGCGTGGGGTGGTGACGCTGAGAGCGGGGGCTGCGGTCACAGGCCGGGCCCCTCTGGCAGGCGGGAGCAGGTGCCTGGCCCCAGGTGGGGTCCTGCCAGTGGTGGCGGTGGCGGCACAACTGGACGCGGCCAAGGTGGGCGGGCACGGGCTTCCTCTGGAGGCTGCCGTGGTCCAGAGGTGTGCCGGGTGCTCTGGCCTGCCCTGGGGCTCTGCTGCCCAGGGCTGGGGAGGGCGGCCCCAGCGGTGCCAGGGCCCAGGCCAGGCAGCCCCCCCCAAGGGGCCATGGGCTGTGCCCCCCAGTCCTGGGCCCCGCCCCCGGAGCTCACCGTGCTGCCCCGTGGTGTAGGGCAGCTGCAGGGTGGGGGTGTGAGGCGCCGGGGCCCAGGGTCTCACGTCTCTTGTGTTTGAGCCTAGTGGGGCCCCGGGGTCGCCGCGGACCAGGAGCCCGGAGCTCCGCTCGGAGCCTCAGGACGGACCCGCGACGGGAGGCGGCTCTGCGGGGACGGAGCCGAGCGCGGGGCCACCCCAGGTTGGTCGGGGCTCCTGCGGCAGCGGCCCTTCGCCGGGGAGCCCGCGGGGGTGGGGGCCCCGCCTGGCCATCCTGAGGCTGCCCGCAGCCCCCGGGCCAGGCCCCTGTCCGAGGAGCGTGGCGTGCCCATCTGTGGTCAGGCGGCCAGCGCCCCCACCCAGGAGCAGCGGGCGGCCAGTCCTGCAGCGCCTGGGGGCTGGGCCGGTGTCGCGGGGCACCCCTCCTGGCCCCTGGAGAGATGGGCCAAGGCCGCACTGTGGGGGGAGCCGGGTGTGCCGAGGGCTCTGTAAGTCCTGCAGCACGGCGGGGAGCCCGGCGTGGCTTTGGGGACTCGGAGCCGCCCTCGCCAAGAGCCTCACCTGCCGCCTGCCCTGGCTGCTCCCCAGGCCCGCCTGTGGGGACGCGCAGTAGCTGTGTGCCCGGCAGCCGGAGGCCAGCAGCAGCCCAAGAAAGGAAGGGGCTCCCCGAGCCCAGCGTCCTGCTCTGGGTGCCCACGGGAGACGGGGCAATGGGGAGCCCGCCTTCTGCCCCAGGGCCGTGCTGTGCGTCCTGTGGGCCGGCCAGCGCGCTTCCTGTTGCCCGCCCTCCTCTCAGCGAGCCCCGTCTTCTCTTGCAGGCGTCCGACCCCCGATCATGAACGGGCCCCTGCACCCCCGGCCCCTGGTGGCGCTGCTGGACGGCAGGGACTGCACAGTGGAGATGCCCATCCTGAAGGACGTGGCCACTGTGGCGTTCTGTGACGCCCAGTCCACGCAGGAGATCCACGAGAAGGTAGCGGGCGGGTGTGGCCCCGCAGGGTGGGCGAGGCCTGAGAATCGCTGGCTACGGCCGGGCTCCCGGGAGCGGTCGGGTTGGACTTGGCGACGGTCGCTGCGGGGCCTGGACACCCGGGCTGTGGGAGGTGTGAGTGATGCTGGCGGGGAGACGCGCGTTCACCGCCCCGCTGCTCCCGCTGCGGCCCCTTGGGGCAGCTGAGCCTTAGGGCGCCGTGGGCAGAGGCCAGCGTCAGGTGGGCCCGCCGCGTGGGCCAGCGTTGCTGCTTGGGAGCAGGGGCCTGGGGTGGCAAGAGCCAGGCACTGCTTTGGTGCAGACCCAGCCCCGGCCGGCACCCTGGGGTCAGGAACCGGAGGCCGCGCCCTCGTTGTGCCCACGGGAGCGGGGCTGGAGCTGCACCTACAGCGGCCTGGCCAGAGGTGTGCCCGGTGGGTGGGGCCATCCTGCCTGCCCAGAGCGGAAAGCCGGCCCGAAAACCTTTGGGGGCTGATGGTCTGAAGCACAGCCTGCGGGGAGAGCCTGGGTGCTTGCGAGGTGCCGGCGCAGAGCCGGAGATGGGGACCCGGGCACCAGAGCAGAGGGGACGCTGGCAGCGGGCGCGTCGCTCTCGGGAGCGGGTGGGTCCCTGTCCAGCTGGGCGGCCCCGGGCAGGGCCTGTCACCCGCCCCAGAGAGACAGACCTTGGCGCCGAGCAGCGCTTCTCTCCTGGCCGTGTGGGGTGTGGCTCCGAGGGGAGCCGGCCCCGGGGCGGGAGGGGGGGGGGTGTCAAGCGACAGGTTCAGGGTCGCCAAGGCGGAGCTGCCGCATGGGTCTGCCGAGGGCTCGCGCGGGTGTTCCCGGCGGGGACGGGCGGCCCCGGGTCCGGGGGGCAGTGGGGGCCGGAGCCCCCTCGCTGTCTGCGCGCCGCCCGTGCCTGCGGGGCTGCTTCCCACCAAATCGCTGTCAGGAGCCAGCCCGGGGAATGAGAGCGGGACGTGCAGAAGCGCCTTTAGATCCGAAACACAAGTTTGCCAATAAATTTGAAAACTGAGACAAAACACGTTTTGAATGGTAATTTACAGAAGTTACCTCAGAAAACCCCGGAGGAACCCAGGCGAGGGCGCCGAGGCCCTCGGGAGGCAGGAGCCGGGTGGCGGCCCCGCCCGTCCCCGCCGCTACACCCTCGGAGGAGGGGCCGGCGAGGCCCCCGCAGGACGGGCTCGGGGGACGGGGTCTGGGGACGGCTGGTGCCCCAGGCCTGCGCCCCAGCTCCGCCCGCGAGGGCGCAGGAAGCACAGGTCCGGCGGGGGCCGGCAGGGCAGCAGAGGCTGTGGACTCAGCCGAGACACACCCGCCGCCCACCGGAGGAGGGGGAGCTGCCCCAGCCACAGGAGGAGCTGCCGGTAGGGCAGACGCCATGTGTCCTCGAGCCCAGGAGACCGGGGCCGCGCCCTCCCACCCCACTACCCCCCCTCGCCGGAGCCACACAGAGACGCCCACAGGCCAGTGCCTGGCCCTCACCGTGGGCCCAAGGGCAGGCGCCAGGGCTCGGCCTGGGCTGGAGGAGCAGAGAAGCCATCCGGCTGCACCTGCAATTTGCACAATTGCGGGAGGCCAAGGCTGGCCCGAGGCCGCACAGGCGGCTTAGGCCAAGGCTGAGGCGCTGGTCTGGAGGTGGGGGTCACGGTGGCATCCACCTCACCCCTCGGCCGCCCCCAGCACTGCTGGGCTGCAGTCCCTGCTGCCTGCGGAGGGGGCCCCTCACTGCCCTGCTGCTCCAGGTCCAGTCTGTCTGCGCCCTCTGCTGGTGCCGGTTCTCCGGCCACCTGGACAGGCTCGGGGTGTGACACGGTGGACACCCAGAGCCCCAGGGCCAGAAACATGGGGCGTGTAGCCAGCCTCTGGCAGCAGGGGTGCAGGCCAGCCCGCTGAGGGGAGAGGGAAAGCTCCCCGCAGCCCCCAGAGAGGAGAGGGGCCCCCACAGCGCGGCGCAGGAGGCCAGGCCCCAGGGCAGCAGGGCCGTGGGGGGGCGGGGGAGGGGGTGGCTGTGGGGTGCTCGCGGAGCTTAGAAAACCAGCGGGTGACGCGGAGCAGGAACGAAGGCAAGAGCAAGAGGATGAGGCTGCTGTGAGCAGTGACCGGCTCTGGAAAGGATCACAGCGAAGTTAAAACACCAGCCGAGGGCGTCAGGCACGGACAGATGCCAGCGGCGGACAGAACGGAGGCTCCGGGGAGCGGCGTGTCGGACGCGGGAGACGGAATTCTGGAAATGGACACGGCGGCGGGCCTGCGGACGGCCCCCGGGGAACCAGCGCGGCGTGTCGCGGGGGGCGCGGGAGAATTCCTCCAAGCAGCGTTTGCCGAGCCCCGTCTCGGCGGGTGAAGCGAACCAGACGTCCTGATCCGGGAGGCGCGGAGCCCCGAGCAGACGGCGGTGGCCGCACCCCGAGCCTGCCGGCATCGGGGAGAAGCGTGAGCGGCGCGGGGCGTCGAGGACTGTCTGCAGACCCGCCCTGGCACCTGCAGGCTGGAAGGAAGTGGCAGGAGGCACCGGCAGCTCCCGCAGAGGCTCCGCCTGAGGCCCTTCCTCCGTGGGACTAACGTCCGAGGCAGGAAAGCAAAAGGGAGAGAACCAGGCGCGCGGTGGGAGCGCCGGGGGGTCGTCGTGGAGCAGCAGAGCCACACAGAGGCACGGAGCTCATTCCACGGGGCGGCGGCCACACCGCCCAGGGCACCGGGGCCAGCACAACTGACCCAGCGGGGCCCCCGGACGGTGGCAGGAACACGGAGGCTCCAGGAGGCTCCGAGCCCAAACACAGGCAGGGTGACGCCTGCGCTGGGGAAGGCGGAGCATGCACACGGCGCGCCGCCGGCAGGCACGTCTTGGTCATTTCGGGTGTCTGGTGACCGTGCAGGTTAAAAGCTGGGGGCTGGGGGGTTTCAAAGCCCAGCCCGCCTGCTGTTAGGGGCCAGCTCACCAGCGCAGGCGCCGGGAGAGCTCGTCTCCAGCAGCTGCTCTCTAGCTGCCTCCTCGCTGTGGCCTGAGCCACCCCAGGAGAACGTCCGGCCAGGAAGAGCCTCATAAACGTCCCCGGGGAGCTTGGGGGACAGTCTGGGGACGGCCGGCGGGGACGCAGCCTTGTATGGCTGCGGCGTCCCCACATTGGCTGCCCGCGTGGCCCGGCGCCTGCAGAAGAGGTAAGTGGGTTCCCACCTGGGACCAGGAGCCGATGCGACGGCTGCGGCTGACGGGGCCCGGCTGTTCGGAGGGCGGGCAGCGGGGTGGCTGGGCCTGTGGGCTGTGGGGCTGGCCGCCCCGCTCCCGCCATCACTGGGGGGCTGGGTGCTGTGATGCCATCACCGTGCGAGCAGGAAACCCCCTCCCCGAGCAGAGATGGCAGCTCCCCCAGCAGAGCCAGAAGGCGCCCATGGGTGTGGCCCACATGAGGGGGCAGCTGCACCAGGATGCCTGGGCCACCCCCCCATTCCGCAGGAGGCCCCTAAAGACATGTTCCCCAGAAACAGCAGTGGCTGGACCCGGAGCAGAGCTGGGCGGCCGGGGGAAGGGCAGGGTGTGAGAACAGGGTGGGCGGGGATTCAGGGGAGCCGGCTTGGCTGCTGGGAGGGACGCCCCCATGCTGGGGTGTGGGCAGCACAGGCCAAGAGAGCAGGGCTGGGCTGGCGCAGAGTGCAGGACGGAGGCTGGGCCAGAGAGGCCTGGGATGCGCTCATGTTCTGGGTGCCCGGCCGGGGGGCTCGCGGCCCTGATAGGGGAGGACGGGACAGGAGACAGGGTCTGCAGAGAGCAGATGGGTGACAGGGCAGGAAGCCCAGCGCCTGTGGGGAGCCCAGCGTGCCCAGGCGGAGGAGCAGGGCAGCGACCAGATCCCTCCATCGCTAGGGAGAGACGGGGGAGGCAGGGGTCCTGGGAGCTGAGCCAGCCGCTGGCCAGTGTCCCCAGCCAGCATCCCCACGCAGCTGTGGGTCACAGAGGCCCCGAGCATGCAGCCCTGTCAGCACCATGCCCAGTAGTGGTCCCCAAGCCTGGCCATGCCCTGCAGGCCCCTGCAGGCTGGAGAAGTGGCCCTGGGCCCTGGTGAGCCACCACGCTCCCCTGGCCAGTGGCCCCACATGCGCTCAGCGGGCCTGGGCCCCCAGTGGCCGCTGCCGCCTCTGGCCTGCACACACCGGTGGAGGGAGGGGTTCTTGCTCCCCTCCGGCCCTCCGTGTGGGGCCTGCGCACTGACCACTGCAGAGGGCGGGCAACGCCGGCCCCGCCGACCGCACTCCCGGCCGAGGCCTCGCAGGGGCGGCTGTGCTGCCCGGAGGCACTGACTCCTGGCCGGAGCATCAGGCCCAGGGCTCGCCAGCCACTGCCTGCGCCCCGAGCCCCGCCCTCCTCCCCCGCTCAGCTGGGAGGGTGCCCAGCACCCCTCGCCAGCTGCCCTGGCCTCACGTCCCCCGCGCCCACCGTGCCAGGTGGCCCCGCACTGGTGTCCCCGCAGCGAGCCAGGCAGCCACGGGGGGTTGGCTCTCCCCCAGGGGAACAGGGCCGGGCGAGGGGAGGGTCTGCGCCGAGGCTGCAGCAGGTTCCCGCCCCACATGCCCCTCATCTGAGACATGCCCAGGACGTCACAGCTGCGGGTGTCCCTGGACTGTCCAGGCACTGACCACAGCCAGGTCCAGCCCCACCCTCTGCGGCCTCGCCAGCCACGGGGCCCAGTCATGCGCGCCAGGGGCCTGGGTGGGCAGGGGTGGCAGGGCACCCCGGTTCTGCAAGGGCTGTGCTATTGGTCTGTGGCTGGGCTCTGGCGGGATGGCCGCAGGTGTGCCTGGTGTCCTGCATGAGGTCCCCGGGCTCCTGGCCAGAGGCACTGGGGCCTTTGTGCCCCTCCTGCTCTCTAGGGAGCTCGGTCCTGGCGCATGGGCCAGCCAGGAGCGCGGACTGGGGTGTGCGTCAGGGCGGGCACGGTGGTCACGCTGAGCCCCCCCCCAGGTGCTGAATGAGGCAGTGGGTGCGCTGATGTACCACACCATCACCCTCACCAGGGAGGACCTGGAGAAGTTCAAGGCCCTCCGCATCATCGTGCGCATCGGCAGCGGCTTTGACAACATCGACATTAAGTCGGCCGGGGACCTAGGTAGGACACACCCCCGTGGGCGCCTCGCCTCGGCTGGCCCGGCTTGACCCCCATCCAGAGGCCCTGGCTCCCCTTGGCACGCCAGGGAGGGTGCCCTGGGCGAGGGGGTGCTCACGGCCATGGCTGCGTTTTGCCTCTCAGGCACTGGGTGGGGCTGCAGGCAGCTGGTCCGCCCTGGGCCTTTGCTGCCCGCCCTTGCGGGCTGCTACCCGGAGCGGCCGCCTGAGGCCGTGTGAGGATCGTGGGTGCTCACCTGGCTGGGCGGCCACTCCGTGACACTGGACGGTGCTGTGGGCCAGCAGGGCTGGTGGGTGGGGCTGGTTGCCAAGGCAGGGCAGGAGGGTACTGGGGATGCAGGGGCCGGTGCGGTCACCCCACTCAGCCCGGGCCACTGGCTGGGGCGCCCTGCTGCGAAGGTGGAGGGAGGTGGTGCCGGTGGAGAGGACGGGGCGGGCACTGCCTGGGCAGCCTCCCCTGCTGGACCCCGGTGGTGCTCTGCACGGTGCAGGGCGCCGCTCACCCCCATCTCGTCCCCAGGCATCGCCGTCTGCAACGTGCCGGCCGCGTCGGTGGAGGAGACGGCCGACTCCACCCTGTGCCACATCCTCAACCTGTACCGCAGGGCCACCTGGCTGCACCAGGCGCTGCGGGAGGGCACGCGCGTGCAGAGCGTCGAGCAGATCCGCGAGGTGGCGTCCGGGGCCGCCAGGATCCGCGGGGAGACCCTGGGCCTCATCGGGCTGGGTGAGTGGTGCCCCTCACGCTGCCCGCCCACCGACTCCCACACCGTGGCCACCCCTGCAGGCTCTGCCGCTCACGGCCCTTGACCTGGTGCCGCCGCCTCCCGGCCTGGGCTGGGCCTGCCCCAGCCTCGAGTCACCCTTCTGCTCGGCAGCTGCGCCCCGAGGCCCAAGCCCCTGTGTGGGGGTGGGGTCAGCTGCAGGGGCAGGGCTGCGGCCTGCGCCGCCCCCGACTGCCTGTCCCGACTGCCTGTCCCCTCTCGCTGGCCGCGGCTCCTGCGCGCTGCCCACCCACCCCCGCCGCGCCCTGTGCGCCTCAGCCTCTCCCCAGGGACCCCAGCCCCACGCTGGGCCCTCTGCCCTGCTGCCTGGGCTTGGGAGGGACCGACTGAGGGTGCGCCCAGGACGTCTGTCCTGAACCCCACAAGTTCTCACCCTCCCTGGAATCCCCCAGGGCCTCAGGCCTAGGGTGCGGGTCACAAGCGCCTTCCTGGGCCGCAGGCAGCTGGACGCGGAGTCCGAGTGGGGTTGGGCCGGGCGGGCGCGGGCGCCGGTGTGACGCGCGCTGCCTGCAGGTCGCGTGGGGCAGGCGGTGGCACTGCGGGCCAAGGCCTTTGGCTTCAACGTCCTCTTCTACGACCCGTACCTGCCGGACGGCACGGAGCGCGCGCTGGGGCTGCAGCGGGTCAGCACCCTGCAGGACCTGCTCTTCCACAGCGACTGCGTCAGCCTGCACTGCGGCCTCAACGAGCACAACCACCACCTGGTCAACGACTTCACCGTCAAGCAGGTGTGGGTGGGGGCGGGGCCGGGACTCGGGGGGAGCCCGCAGCAGGCAGGCTCCAGCCTGCACCAGGCGTCCACAGGGCCACAGCCGCTTCTGTTGGGGCCTCTGTCCAGGCGGCCACAGGCACCTTCTGATTGGGGGGTGTCTGTGGGGCCTGATGTCCCGTGGGGGGTGGGGGTGGGGTTGTGGGGCGTGCGGCGGGGGCGGGGGAAGCACCGGCCCCTTTCTCTCTCCCAGGAGCCAGCAGCTTTGGGCCTGGGCGTCCCTTGGGGCCACAGGCCTACATGGGCAGAGCACCCTGTGGACAATGCCCAACACGGCCAGGTGGGCTCACCTGGGGCGAAATGGGACCTTGGGATCGCTCACCTCACAGTAGAGGCCGCCATTACGGTCACGGAGGCCGGGAGTAAGATGAGGACGCGGTGCCGAGATCATGCTGGGCTCCGTGGCTGGGGCAGCCCTTCGGGGTGCCCAGTGCCCTCCCACCACCCTGGGCATTTGGGGGCCCTGAGGCCCCTGGGGCCTGATGGGAGGAGGCACAGCTGTGCCCACTCCTGCCCGCGCGGGGCCAGCTGCAAGTGGGCGCCGAGCTGACGGCACCGCTATCTTCCCAGATGAGACAAGGCGCCTTCCTGGTGAACACGGCCCGGGGCGGCCTGGTGGACGAGAAGGCACTGGCCCAGGCCTTGAAGGAGGGCCGGATCCGCGGCGCCGCCTTGGACGTGCACGAGTCTGAGCCCTTCAGGTGCTGCCGCCTGTCCACAGGGTCTCGTCAGCCCCAGGCCCCGCACGTGTTGCCCTCCAGCTCCCCCCATCTCCCTCCCTGCTGGGGGCGTGGCCAGGGCACGCCCTGCTGGGCCCCGCTGGGCCCCAAAGCAGACGCAGGGGGGAGGGCCCAGGCCCCGGCAGCCTCAGAGTGGGGCTTCGGGCAGCGTCCTGAGTGCCGTGTGCTCCCCAGCTTCAGCCAGGGCCCCCTGAAGGACGCTCCCAACCTGATCTGCACCCCCCACGCGGCCTGGTACAGCGAGCAGGCGTCCATTGAGATGCGCGAGGAGGCAGCCCGGGAGATCCGGAGAGCCATCACAGGTGGGGCCGGCACAGGCGGGGCCCGTCCGGGCGGGGCCGAAGGAGTCTCTCTGGAGGCGAGCAGCTGCCAAGCTCCCACGGGCGCATCTCACAGCAGGCGTGGAGCATTGGCACCTGCCGGGGTCCTCTGGGCTCCGCCGGCATGGGGAGGTGGGGCAGGGCCTCCCTGGGCTCCGCCTGGTGCTAACCCGCCGGGCGCCTGTGGCACGGCCTCACCGGCGGGTGGGGGCCCTGATGTGCCCTCCCGGCTGGCCTGTCAGCTTGGGACGGGGCATCTGCTGGGCGGTGTCCCGGGGTGACGGTCCCCGCGGTGCCGCAGGAGCAGCCAGCAGCTGGGGCGGTGCCGTGACTCTGGCCACCCCGCAGGCCGGATCCCCGACAGCCTGAAGAACTGTGTCAACAAGGACCACCTGACAGCCGCCACCCACTGGGCCGGCATGGACCCCGCTGTGGTGCACCCTGAGCTCAACGGGGCCGCCTACAGGTGAGCCGGGGCCAGGGTGGGGCCAGGTGGGGGAAGGGTGGGGTCCGCCTCCCCCCCAGCCTCCCGTGAGGCCTCACCGCCCCGCTCCCAGCAGGTACCCCCCTGGCGTGGTGGGCGTGGCTCCTGCCGGCATCCCGGCCGCGGTGGAGGGCATCGTCCCCAGCGCCATGCCCCTGTCGCACGGGCTGCCCCCCGTGGCCCACCCGCCCCACGCGCCCTCCCCCGGCCAGACCGTCAAGCCCGAGGCGGACCGAGACCACGCCAGCGACCAGTTGTAGCGGGCGGGGCGCCGCGCCGAGGCCACCAGAGACTGGCCGGGAGGCCGGCCCGGCCGTCGCGATCCTCGTCGAGCAGAAGTCGTAGTTGCGCTGTCATGAATGTCCTCGTCTGTGTACAGTTAGAACATCACCAGGGTTTGTTTGCTTAGCTGTCAGCACGGAGAGCGCCCGCCTGGGCGGCCGCGGGCAGGCGGGCCCACTTCTCAGGACAACCACCCGTCTTTCTTTCCAGGCCACACAGTGCATTGTTTTTCTACCTGCTTGTCTGATTTTTAGAGTAATTTAGGAAACAAAACCAAGGCTGTTCTCCCCAACTCGGCATGAGCCCCGTCCCCAGCACGGCGGCCGCGGCTGGCGGGGGCGCTCCGGGCCGGGCCTGCGGGCCGTCCTGCTGACGTGGTAGCTAGCAATATTTTGGTTAAAATCATGTTTGTGACTGTAACCATTTGTATGAATTATTTTAAAGAAATAAAAACCCCAGGAAGAGCGGGTAGGCCTGTGTCCGCGTCCCCGGCGGAAGCTGAGGGGAAGGGGTGTTCCTCCCGAGCCCAGCCAGTTCGCCTGTGCTGGAAGCCGGGTCCCGGGAGCGCCTGCCTGCTGGGCGCCCCGGTGTCCTCGGTGGGGAGGGCAGGGACAGACCACGGGGCTCCCTGCTGCGGCCTGGGCCGCCCCAGGCTCTCTTGCTGCCCCTCCGGCCCCTGCTGCAGTTGCCTGCGGGAGCCCCTGGCCCCCACGGACCCCACGCAGGGCCATGGATGTTCCACCCGAAAGTGCCGGGCGCCGGCTGGCCCAGGCTCATGGGGAAGCCCTCGCAGTCCCGAGGCGCCCGCAGGCCCTCTCCCAGGCCTCCCTCCACAGCGGCCACAGATGGGCAGGGTGACCCCGACTGCGAGGGCCCTGCCCCCCCCCCCAGTCACTTTGGCTGTGGTGTCCTGCCTCGTCTGGGCACCTGGCCGCATCGGCCCTCGGCTCAAAGCCCACCTCGGGTCCCGCTGCGCCTGCGCTGGACCAGCCCGCAGCTCACCTGGCCAGCCGGGGCCGGGGGAAGCCCCGCCTCTCCCCAGTTGCACTGCCCCGCCGTCACGGCCACCAGCTGGTCAGTGCCTCCTGGGGCATCTGAGCAGGGACAGGGCAGGGAGGGGGCTCTGGGCCCTGCCAGGCTGACCCCTGCCACCTGCCTTTGGGCTCGGGGGCGCCAACACCCCAGCACACACGTCACAAGGAGGGGTCGGACGCCTGGCAACAGACCTGGTGCTGGACCGGCCCTGGGGAGAACCTCGGGCCCTGGACAGCAGTGACCCAGGGCTGTCCCTCAGGTCTCTCCTGGGCACCAGGCTTTGGGGCCAGCCCGGGTCTTGGGCCCAAGCCCGGCCACCCGGCCCGTGGCCCTGGCCAGGAAGTGTGGACCCGGCCAGTCCCCAGCCGTGGCCCCAGTCTCAGGCCTGGAGCAGAGACCCAAGTGCAAGTCGCCCGTCCCCCAGCTCCGGGCCCCAGGCTGGCCCGAGCCTCTGGCCACACGCCTCTACTGCCAGCTCCTGCGGCCCCCCGCCCGCCCTTGGGCACAGCAGATGGGCCTCCCGGGTTGGGGCTGCGTGGCCACAGGATGAGTCCCGGGAAGGTGCTGGGGGGCTGCAGCCCCAGCCTGCCCCGCCCCTCCCTCCTCCACGCCGCCCGCATCTCCCCCTCCTGCTCCTCCCCGTTCTCCTGCTCCTCCCCCTCTTCCCTGCGGCCCGCCCTCTCCTCCTCCCCCTTCCCCCTCCCCTCCACGCAGGCTGCAGCTCGGGGCAGGGGTCTGCCTGGCAGTGGGCACCGGGCCCCATGGGGTTCTGGGTGGGATGCAGCCCCTCATCTTTGCTGTGCTTGTCAGGGCTGTCCTGGTGGGCGGCAGGCGTGGGGTTGCTAAGCCAAGACCAGTGTGTGGAACCCAGGGGCTTGGCCCCCACTGTGTAGCCAGCCAGCGTGCAGGTGGGGAGCACCCTCTGTGGCACTGGCCTCCAGGCCTGTGGACTGGCCGGCTAGAACCCCCTGGGGTGCTGTCCCCGAGGGGGCAGAGGCACCGGAGGGGCCCCCAGTGAGAACTGCCCCACCCCCACAGCAGCCCAGCCAGGACCCCCTACCTGCTGCTGAGGGTGTCCCCCTCCCGAAACCCACAGATACACACGACCACCCAAGACCCGCCCCAGCCTATGTGGAGGGACGGCCGCGGGCTGCAGCGGGCCCAGCCAACTGTGGGTGTGGCTGGCCGTCCTCCCGCCCCCTGCCCCGAGCCTGGACGCCGGTCCGGCCGGCCCTTGGGCTGCAGCTCGCTCCCAGTAAAGCCCAGAGCCTTTCAGCAAAAGCAGATCCTGGAGCAGCCACAGGAAAGTCTTGACCTCAGGCCGGCCAGGGAGGCCGCAGCTGGACCTGGACGGAGGCGGGGAGGGCTCCTGGGCCCCGCCCAGCAGGGTGGGGCTGGTCTGCTGCTGCCCTGCTCCAGGTGCCCAGCCTCACTGCCAGCCCCCATTGGAACTGCACCCCTCGCACCGTGCTCCCCTCCTGCTGGGCCCCTCCCAGCTGTGCTCCCCTCCCCAAGCCGTGCTCCCCTCCCCAGCCATGCTTGCCTCCTGCCGTGCTCCCCTCCCCCAGAGCTTCCCCCACCTGCCCCCTCACCCGCCCCCTCATCCCCACCTGCCCTGGGCATGGCCCCCCTGAGGGTGCTGTCCCATGGCCGCTGCCGCTGTCCCTCTCAGAGTGAACAGACAGATGAGCAAGGGCAGGCCCGGGCCTGCTGGGTGCTCAGCATCGGGGACGTGACCAGCGGCTGGGGCCAGCCGGCACTCTCAGAGGTGGGCGAGGCCAGCACTGTCCGCTGGCTGGCCCAACAGGATGTGGGAGGGGGTGACCTCCCGCCCCGAGGCCCTGTGCCAGCCCGGGCGGGGCAGGGTCACCCCTGGCTCCTAGCCCAGGGGAGGGGGAGGGGAAGGGCCCGTCACACCCGGAATGAGAACCACATGCTGGGTCTGGCCTTCGCCCAGGCGCCGGTCAGCAGGAAGGTCCCCCCGCCAGTGCCCAGCTCCTCCCTGGGGGGGGGCAGCAAAGGGTCAGGGGTCAGTGGGGCCAGTCTGCCCCTTGACTGCATGCGGCCACTTAGCCACTGCTGGGGTGGCCGCTTGGGCTGGGTCCAAGAGGGACTGCGGGGGTGGCGCTCTGCCCTCCCTCCCAACAAACACCTCCTTGTGAGGCCTCTGGGCACCTGCGCCCCAGGGCAGCGGCCGGACACTGGAGGGCCCCATTCCCCCCAGGTCTGCGAGCACTGGGCTCTCTCCTGGGCCCACAGAGGTGGCCGGCTCCCTCCCCGCCCCCCCCCCCCCCCCCGAGAGCTCCGCTTCCCAGAATCAGGGGTCCTCACTGGAGGGGACAGCTGCCTGCGGTCAGCTCGTGTTTACACAGGCTGGGTCGCGGGTCCTCCTCCTCCGCCTCGGCGAGGCCGCACCCCCAGGGCCTCCCTCACTCTCACCCCGGCCCCTGGGAGCCTAGCCTCTGGCTGAGGGCCGCCCCCGCAGCTGCGAGCCAGGCCTGACCCTGACCCCAGGCCATGCCACGCCACCAGCCACCCTTTCTCTCGCGGTCGGTCGGGCTGTGGTCTCTGCCCTGTGGGCGCAATGCGCGGCACCCTTGCCTCTCACTGCTCCAGCCCGGGCCTGCCGCTTGGACAGGGCAGGCGCCATGGACGCTCCGCGGCCCTCCTGCCCGGCCCGTGTGCTCCTGCGGGAGCCGGAGGCTGCATCACCAGCACGAGCGTGGAGACGCCCCGGGGCCGCCGGCCCTGCGCCTTCTCACTGACCCCAAGTCTGATGGGGCGCCCTGGCCCTGTCCGACTGCCCACGCCCGCTGCCCACCACCCGCCGTCTGGCTGCAGGCCTCACGAGCCCAGTGGGGCAGCTCCTCCCTCAGCGGGGTCCAGCGGGCGGCAGCCAGCCCAGCCCCTCCTGGCGTCCATCGGGGCCATGGCCGAAATGCGTGTGGCCCCTCCGGGCCGCCCTGATGGCACTTTCTCCCCGATGTTCCCCAGACGACCGTGAACCTGCCGCTCGCTTTCTGCTTAACGAACTTCTGGTTCTGTCTTCACAGTTTCCTCTTTTCTAAAATGTGTTGGGGCCTCCCCGGTGGCGCCGCGGGGCGAGCGCTGCACCGTGAGGCGCCCGCAGCCTCTGCAGCGCGAGTCCATCCCCGGCCAGGGAGCTGCCCACAGGGCGCCGCAGGCCTCTCCTGGCTCCCCGCCGCTCCCCGCAGCAGTGCCTTTCAGTGGATGTCTGCTGGCTCCCCGCTCTGCCTCTGGGGAGTCCTCTGGCCTGCACCCCAGCTCTTGTATGCAGAAATAAATATTTTTTTAAAAAAGATAAGATTTGAAAAAAAATAAAATGTGTCTAATTTCTCTCATTCTGGCCTTTAAGAAGGGTGCTGGCCCCGCCAGGCCCGGCGTCCAAGCGGAAGCTTCCCCGGCCACCGGCGGGGCCCTCAGGCTCCTCCCAGCCGGCCGCGTCCCTGTAGGCCCGGAACCTCAGCCCAGCGGCACGCCGGCCAGCCCTTCCAAGGCCAACAGGGTCTGGGGCGCGGCCCACGGTGGCCCCACACCCTGGGCCTGGCGGGGAGGTTGGGGGGGCGCGATCAACGGCCACCCCAAGATCAGGGCTGACCCCCTACTGTTGAGGGTGCAGCGCTCCACGGCGTGTCTGTGTCCCTGAAGTCGGGGAAACCAAGAGTGGTTTGGGTGTCTGGGTGGGGAGGATGGAGGGGCCCCGCGCCCAGGCCCACGCCCGCGCCCAGGTGCTCCCGGCAGCCTCTCGCCCACCTCCAGGTGGCTCCTGACACCACCGAGGACAAGACTTACTTCCTGTGCTTATAAAGCACTCGAGAGTGGGGGTGGGGCTTGGACCCCAGTGGGGCCCGGCCTCCTGCTGGCCTGTGGACTCAGGCCCCTCCCAGTGGCCGGGACCGCTGCCCTGGGGGGCCGAGGGCCGGGGAGCCGGCACCGGGAGAGGGGGGCGCGGCTGGGGCAGGCTGGCACCTCCAGCTGCCTGGGGGGCCTCACAAGGCAGTGGGTTAGCCAGACTGAGTCTCTAGGGGGACCGAGCCTGGGGACCCTGCAGGCCACGTGCTCAGGCACTGGCCGGGCACCTAGAGGCCATGGTCAGGGGGCTGGGCCCTGCCTGCGCCGGAGTGTCCCCCTCCACCCTCTCTGGCCCTGGCAGGCTCAGGCTGACCCACATTCCCACTGCCCCGGGAAAAGCAGGCCACAGGCGGGCGGAGCCAGGGCGGACGGCCCGGAGCCTGCTCAGACTTTCCGGGCAGGGAAGCCGGTCTGGGGGGGAGGGGGCAGGCTCCCCTGGGCTGGGGTGCCGGCCTGGCTGGCCGGGCAGCAGGGCCGTGCCAGGAGGCGTCCGGCAGGGTTGTGCTCCAGGGTCAGCGTGGACCCAAAAGGGAGATTTTGCTGTTGGGTTCGAGGAGGGTGAGCCAGGCCGGGGCTGGGGGCCACCCCTCCCAGGCTCCCACACAAAGCTGGGCCGCGTCCCCCAGTGCACAGCCGGCTGCTGCCCCGGGTGTCCATGCCACCATGCTCAGAGCCGTGGAGGGCCCCGCCTTGCACCCCGGGTGCCAGGGTTTCCGAGTCCCTCCCCAGATGGGGCCAGGGTGGCCTTTGCCCCAGCCAGACAGTCTCAGGGGTCTCCCCACGGGCCTGGCCCAGAGCGGGGTGAGCCGAGTGGGGTATGAGTGGGGTCTCTGCAGAACGGGAAGGCTCCACCTGTCAGTGAGGGGGGCAGGGCAGCCGTGCCGTCACCAGGGCCACCGCGTGGAGGGTCCTGAGGTGGGGGGTGGCCGGACCGCCGCAGTGGGGGGCCTGGGGGCTGGGGCTGCCTCTGTGGGGAACCTGCACGCCCAGGGACCTCGGCCCCAGGAGCCCCTGCTGCCCGCCCACTGACCTGAAGCCGCCGGGCTCCGCCGCCGGGAGACAGACGCCCCCACACCTGAGCGGCATCGCAGGGGTGAGGGAAGGAGAGATTGCGGACAGCAAAGCGTGACCCCTGAGATCTAAGGCCCCTTCTGGGACCCACAGGCCGAGGCCAGCGAGAGGAGGGGCCAGCCAGGGCTGAGGATGGTCTGGGGGTTGGGGCCAGGGCGGGGGGCCTGCGGCCTCACTCAGGCCCCTCCCCAGCCAGCTCCACCCTGGGGGAGCCCAGCCCGGGCCTATCCGCGGGTCAAGAGCCTGCCCGGCGGGCCAGTGGGCTTCCTGCGACCCCGCCAGGAGGGGGAGAGAGGGACAGCCCACGGCACCCCGCCCCACTGGGGGGACCCCCTGGCTGCAGGCGGCCCTAGCCCCGCAGCACGGCAGGGCCGCACCCAGGCCTCTGACCGCCACCTCCTAGTGGCCCCCAGGGACAAAGTGGACACGGTGGTCTGCGGGGCCCCCCGGCAGCAGCGGAGAAGCCGCGCCCACGGAGGCCGGTCAGGGCTGATGTGGAGGGCCCTGCGCAGAGCCTGCGCCGCCTTCGGGGCCCCCACTGCAGCCTGTCAGCCTCCCCGGCCGCTGTCTCTCCAGCAGCGCCCTTTAGGGTGCCCCGCCATTCTCCCTGGAGGGGCTGCAGGGACCCCTTGGAGCCTTCTGCTCTCGGCCCCGGGGCTGCAGGAGGGTGGGCAAGGAAGCCACAGATGCCGGCTCCTCCACCGAGCCCCGGGACGGGGCCTGCGGGGGAAGGGGGGTGGGCCGGCGGCTGCGGGCAACCTCGCAGCCCCCACGGGCGCCTGCTCCCCATCACGCGCCCAGGGACCAGCTGGGCCCTCTCCGGCCTCCCTGCTGCGGGCGGCCAGCGGGGGCCCAGTCCCCTGAGCTGGCGGCTCAGAGCCACACCTGGGCTCACATCTGTGTCCCGGCCAGCGAGGTCTGGGGGACTGTGGCGCCCGGGCTGCGGAGGCCCTACCCGCCCGGCCTCCCCAGAAGCGGGCAGCCGCGGGGGCGCCCCTTGTGGGGGTCACGACCCCGAGGCCGGGTGGCTGCCCGCTGCCTGCCGGGGCGCTGCGCATGGCCAGAAGCCCCAGGCGGGCTCGGCGCGGCCAAGGGCGTCCGGAGGCCGCGTCCTGCAGCCACAGCACCTGCTCCGCGCGGCCCACGGGGTGCCTCGCCCACGGGCAGACAAAGCTTCTGGGCAGTGACTCCCCCTGCCATGGCCTCCACGCGACTGCCGGAGCCGCCCCTGCCGAGACACAACCGGCCAGACGCGCGGGGGGACGACCAAGGATGTGGCGGTTTCCAAACCCTGGGGCGGCCGGAGCCTGCAGCCCAGGCGCTGACGATGAGGGCCGGGACCGAGGCTCAGCGGGAACAGCCCCGAGCCGGGAGGCTGCCGGGCCCGCGGCTCCCCACGGAGAGGCTGACAGAGCCAGGCAGCAGGTCCGGCTGGCCCGGGGCTGCCCCTGGCGTGACGGGCAGTGGCCTCGGCCCCAGGCCCCGGGACGGCGCAGGAGCGGTGGCAGGACTGTCCCTGCAGAGAAAGGGAGACGGTGCCCACAGGCCGCTGTCCGGGAGAAGCTTCCCTCCAGCCGGCCACGCGCCGTGGGGAGCCTTCCGTGAACTTCGGAAAATGTCCCCATCAGAGAAGAACAGTGACTCCGACACATGAAGACCTACTCTGTGCAGAAGCGCCAGCGAGCGGGCAGGGCCAGGGTGGGGGAGCCCCCGCGGCCAGGAAGCGGGGCCCAACCCCACAGGGCTCCCAGAGCCGGGTCCGGGCTTCGAGGATGGAGTCCGGGCACCAGCTGACTCTGCCCGTGGACGCAGAATGGACCAAAGGCCTGGAGGGGGCGGCTGGAACCACAGACCCCCAGAGGCGCCCGCGGGAGCCAGAGGCACCACTGAGGAGCCGAGGCCCGGGAGGCGAGGGTCTGACCGCAGCCCAGTGTCCAGGTGATGGGTGCGGACAGCCTAAGGGCAACCCGGTCAAGCCGGGCAAGGCCCTGAGCAGTGAGCGGTCCTGGGACGTGACGCCCCACGGGGAGCGGCCAGGGGCGCCCCGTCGAGGGGGCGCGGGCGGCTGCTCTGGACAGTCGGCGTGCCCGGGAGCCGCGCTTCCTGCAGGTGCCGGTCCGTGAGGACGCGCTGGGGACCGGGCTCTACCCCGGCGAGCTCCCTGCCAGTGCCTCCGCCCGCGGTTTGCCGGCCGCTCTGAGACGCGCCAAGATCTGCGCTCCCTGCCGCGCGTGGCCGCTAATTCTCGGCTTGGGTGGCTCAATGGTCAGCTAATGACTAGATGGAGAGTCCCTTACACGCCCGGGACCGGCGTGTCTGCGCTGGCATCTGTGGGTACTGGGTGTGCTGGCACCTCCGTGGGCACCGGCCAGGGCTCCGCACTCTGCCGGCCGACCTCAGGCCGGCCACAGAACCGCTGGGCACGTGGCCTGGCCGTCTGCTGGCCTCTGGGTTCCCCCGGAGTCCCCAAAGCTGCTCTAGACACCCCGCCTCTCTGCTTTTCCTGCCAAGCGCCACGGCTGGCCTCTTGCTTGCCCAACTGCCAGCTGCCACCCAGGGCCGCGAGGCCCCGGCGTGCTTAGGAGAGGCTTTGTGTGACCTGAGCTCTATGCCGGCATCCGGGAGTCACCAGCAGGCCGAAGGACACCCACCCCCACGGCGCTGCCGAGGGCGCCGCCCTGTCCCCTCCCTGCACAGCGGCAGGCCGCTGCCGTCAACAGGGCTGTCCACGCCCAAGGCCACCACGCGCCTCGTGTCTGTGAGCGTGGGCCGAGCGCTGCCGGTGGGCGTGTGAAACGGGGTGGCCACCGGGGAGACAGGACGGAGGGGCCTGGACACAGCAAACATGGAATGACCTTGGGCACAGAGCTGGGCCTGGCCCCCAAGGGCTGGGCGCTGGGTCTCCAGGCCCGGCGGCCCCCACGGCCAGCGCAGCGCTGCTCCCGGCTGAGGGCCCGTGGACGGCCGCCGCCCCTTCCCGCGGGGCTCTAGTGTGCAGGCCGTCCTCGGAGCCTGAGCGGCCACTTTTGCACAAGCCTCGGCATCTCGACTGGGGTGCAGGGCATCGCGGCAAATGCTGAACACGGGGGCTGCACCGTGGGGAGCAAGCCCCCATTCCCACCAGCGGCAGCACCCCCCCCCCCGCCTGCCCACACTCCTGCTGGCGCTGGGGTGCTGACAGGGGCGCGAGGTCCCCTGGGACCTCCTGCGAAGAGAAGAGTGGAGTTAGTCAGGGGCTGGGTTGGGCTGCTACCAGGTGGGGTGAGGCCTCTGCTTAGCACACCCCATTTTAGTGTGCTCCCCTCTACACAGAGGTAGGAAGTTCCACCGGGGCTGTCTGAGCAGGGCAGGCAGAGGGGCCCAGCGGGGGCACGGGGACTGCCCGGTGCTCCCGGGACCCCTTCCGGGCCATCGGAGGGCGGGCGGGCGGGAGGCCTGGGTCCGCGTGGTCACGGCGTCTCCTCTGTCCCAGCACTGAGGCCAGCGGGGTCCACCCTTGCCAGAGGGGGGTATTCACCCGGTGGGGGTGCCGCCTGCACACAGGGGTACCCTCACATTTGTGGGGTCCCTCACACCTGCTTTCCAGACGCTGCTGCGCTTGACCCTGGAGGCAGGGGAGCCCTACTGGCCAGTGCCTCCGAGCACGAGGGGGGCTCCCTCCACACCCCGCTGGGCGGCGGGCTTGGGGGCCAGTGGGTGAGCCGCTGACCGCACGGGTGACCCTGCAGCGGGGCTCTCGCCTGGGCGGCAGTTCTGAAGAACGGTGCGTCCACTGGAGGGAGGGTCAGGCCGCTGGCCGCCTCGCAGGCCCACCGCCTCCCGGAGCCCGAGGGCAGAGGCCGAGGGAGGGCCCCGGGGACCCCCTCCCGGGGAGCCCAGCTGCTCCGCGGCGCCTGGGCCTGGGGAGCCGCCCAGACCCGCCGCTCTGGCCTAGAAGCGTCCTGGGGGCAGCAAACTGGGGAGGCCCCTTCCCCCCGGCCCAGCCCTGGGCCGGGGTCCTGGCCGCCCCTGGCCGCCCCAGCGCCCGCGGAGGAGCCCGGCCGGGCGGGGCGGGGGCGCCGGAGGGTGCGGCCGCGAGGGGAGGAGGCCGGCAGAGGGAGACAAAGAAAGGGGTGCGGCGGGGCCCGCCCGCCCGGGCGGAGGTGACCTCAGCCGGGGAGGCATCTGCTGGGGCGGCGGCGGGCGCGGCTCCGCCCCAGCCCCTGGCCCTGACCGCCGGCCGCGCGCTCCGCCGACCCTGGCTCCGCGCGCCCGGGAAGGTGCCCGGCTCGCCGGCCCCGCGAACGCGGCGCGAGGCGCGAGGCGCGCGAAGGGCGCTGCTCCCCACGGCCGCGGCCGCGGGGGGCTCCGGCTCCGGGGCGGGCGGGGCCGGCGTCCGAGCGCGGCCGCTCTCGCCGCCCCGGGCATGGACCGCCGGGCGCTCTGGGCGCTCCTGCTGGCCGCGCTGGGCTCCGCGGCCGGGCAGCCGCTGGGGGGGCAGCCGGCCTGCACCGCGAGGACCCTGGCCAGGTACCGCCTCACCTTCACCGGCAAGTGGAGCCAGGCGGCCTTCCCCAAGCAGTACCCGCTGTTCCGCCCGCCGGCCCAGTGGTCCTCCCTGCTGGGTAGGTGCGGGGGGGGGGGGGGGGGGGGTGCAGCCCGGGCGGGGGGGGGGTGCGCAGGGGGCCGGCGGGGGGCGGGGGCGCGGGGGGCCTGGGGGGCGGGGGGCGCGCGGCTCACGCGCGAGGGCGGGCGCAGGGGCGGCGCACAGCTCCGACTACCGCCTGTGGCGCGAGGGCGAGTTCGCCAGCAACGGGCTGCGGGAGTTCGCGGAGCGCGGCGAGGCCTGGGCGCTCATGAGGGAGATGGAGGCGGCCGAGGAGAAGCTGCAGAGCGTGCGCGGGGTGTTCGCGGCGCCCGCCGTGCCCGGCGGCACGGGGCAGACGGCGGCGCAGCTGGAGGCCCACGCGCGGCACTCGCTGGTGAGCGGGGCCGGGGCCGGGGCCGGGGCCGGGGCGCGGGGCGGGGCTGGTGAGCGGGGCTGGGGCTGGGGCCGGGGCGCGGGCCGGGCGGCCCTTCGCTGAGCGCCGCGCCCCCAGGTGTCCTTCGTGGTGCGCATCGTGCCCAGCCCCGACTGGTTCGTGGGCGTGGACAGCCTGGACCTGTGCGAGGGGGACCGCTGGAAGGAGCGCGTGGCGCTGGACCTGTTCCCGCAGGACGCCGGCACCGACAGCGGCTTCACCTTCTCCTCCCCCAACTTCGCGACCGTCCCGCAGGACCCGGTGGCCGAGGTGACCGCGCGCGCCGGCCCGGGGCTCGCTTCCCGCCCGGCGCGCGGCGGCTGGGCCCGGGGCGCCCCTCGGTCTCGCGGGCGGGCGCGCGCGCGCGGCGCACCCCGGCCCCGGCCCTGCGGCGGGGCGGGCGGGGCGGGGCGCGGCGGGGCGGGCGCGGCGGGGCCCGGCCCCGCCCAGCGCCCCGCGGCCGCCTCGGCAGCGCCGCCCCGTCGTCTCCGCAGATCACCTCCTCCTCGCCCAGCCACCCCGCCAGCTCCTTCTTCTACCCGCGGCTCAAGTCCCTGCCCCCCATCGCCAGAGTCACCCTGGTGCGCGTGGGGCCGGGTCCCCGCGCCTTCGTCCCGGCGGCGCCCGACCTCGGGGCCGCGGCAACGAGATCCTGGACGGCCCCTCAGGTGAGCCCCGCCGGCCACACCCCGCCTCTCCGCGGGGCCTCACGCGGGGCCCTGGGCGGTGCGGGGGGCGGCGCTGGCCGGCGGCCCCCCAAAGCCGCCGGCTTCCCGGGCCCCGGCCGGCGCCCCCTGCCCGCCGCGCGCGCGCCTCACCGCCTCCCGTGCCGCCCAGCTCCGGAGACGCCGCTGGACTGCGAGGTGTCCCTGTGGTCGTCCTGGGGGCTGTGCGCGGGCCCCTGCGGGAAGCCGGGCGCCAAGAGCAGGACGCGCTTCGTGCGCGTGCAGCCGGCCAACCGCGGCGCGCCCTGCCCCGCGCTCCAGGAGGCGGCCGAGTGCGTCCCCGACAACTGCGTCTGAGGGACCCCGCGGCGCGCCCCGGCAGCCCCCGCCAGGCCCGGCCCGCGCGGCCTCCCCTCCCCCTGCGCGGCCCCCCGCGCCCCCGCGCCGGCCTCTCCGCCCCCAGCTTCGCCCCGCAGCAGCGCGGCGGCTTCCCGGGAGGGTCCGGGGCCCCTCTCTGCTCTGCGCGCCTCTGTATTTATTACCGCGCAGCGCGCCCTGCCCTGGGGCTGTGACCCGCCCCGGCCGGGTCCCACGGGCCCCTGCCCTCCGGGGAAAGCGCGCTGCCCTCAGCGTCCAAGCCGGTGGCCTGCCAGGCCGCGGAAGGGGCGGGTCGGGCACTGCCTGGGGCTCTGAGCTGAATAAAGGCTGTTCTGTGGTGCCAGCGCCTCCTCTTGCACTCCAGGGGGGGGGCAGAGCCCCCCACAGAGGGCCCCCCCAGACCCCTGTGGCAGGTGTGAGCACAAGGAGGGGTGGCCTGCACCTGCGGCCCCATGGCTGCTGCTGAGGGGAAGGCCTGGCCCCACGACCCAGCCCCCTGCGGCCCCCAGCAGGCCACCCCCGGCGGGTGGAGCAGTGGCTGGGGAGCTGCAGGACAGCCCCGGGGTGTGTGGAGAAGGCCCCACTGGCAGGCACACCCTGAACAGAGCTGGGGGCACAGAGATCTGGCCAGGACGCCCGTGGCTAGAGATGCAGGCTGCCGTGTTGGCGGCCGGGCAAGGTGGCGTGGCTGCCCGGCAGGAGGACGCCAGGCCAGGCGGGTCGGGAGCCTCCGAGGTGTGTGTGCTGGCGCTGTGGCCTGGCGTGGAGTGACAGCCCAGCCCCGGCGCGTGCAGGCTCCCTGCGGTCACCGAGGGCAGGGTGTGGGCAGTCAGAGGCCACTGCCACGGCTGGACGAGGAGGGTTTGCCAGAGACACCCGCAGGAAAGGCGAGATGTGGCGAAAGTCTGGCTTCCCACTGCCGGCCCCGGGGCCCTGCCCGGCGCGCACAGCAGGAGGCTGAGGGCAGGCGGCTCAGGGAGGGCCGTGTCCAGGGCCATCACCCCCAAGGCCCCTGTGGTCCCATCATCTGCTGACTAGATGAGGGGCCCCAGGCCAAACAGGGGGGCTGCAGGGCCCCTGCCGGCACAGAGTGTGGACGCTGGTGTCGAAGCTGCTCCTGGCTGGGCAGGGTGGCAGGGCCCAAGGCCACACGGCAAGAAGCGAGTGTGACAGCCGCCGTGTGGGCCGCAGAGGGCAGTGCCAGGCCCCCCGTGCTGAGCCCCACAGCTGGTGACTGGACAGCCAGCGGCACTGGGGAGAAGGCAGGAGAGGGCGGGCACTGAGAAGGGACATGACGCCACGCCTGCCCAAACGCCGCTGAAACTGGGAAAGGATGTGCAGGTGCACGCCCCTTGGTGCCTGTCTGGGGCCTTTGGTCTGCCCGGGCACCCTGAGCGCGCGCCCCACGCTCCACAACTAGACCCCCAGCCGAGACACCGCCCCTCCTGTAACAGGCATGAAGAACTGGTACATTCTCCTCCCATTTCCAAAAATAAGAAAAAAAAATTGAGCCAGGGTTGGAGGAGAAAGGAGCGAGGCGGGCCAGAGTGTGCTGTGGCCGCAGGGACCGCGCCCGGGGCTGCGCTGGGCCTGCCCAGGGTGACCTGGAGGGCAGTCTGGTGCCCCACAAGGAGCAAGGCCCCGCGGTCGGCATTTCCCCTCACGTCACAGAGGACTGACCGTTCTCTCCGTAGGAGCTTTTCCCAACTCCCAGAAGTGGGTCTCAGCCTCCCACCAACCCAAGTCAAGCAACGAGAGCGGCACAAACCACCACTTAAGTTAGCATTATTGGGTGAATTGGGTGAAAGCCAACAGGAAAAGCCCCAAAAGATTCAGACACCCAATAGCACAGATCTCAAAATGACAGGCACTAGAATAAGGACAGGATATAACAGGTAGAACGAGAAATGTCCCGTTGACGAGGGAAGGCTGGAGACGGGCACGTTTAGGAAGGAAACACTGGCATGACAAAGCCTGGCCAGTGGGTTAGAGCCACTCTCCGCTCTTTCACTGGAGAAAGCAGCAGTGAGCCGGAAGACAGGACTGAGACACCAGCCAGAAGGCAGAGCAGAGACGGAAAACTTCAAAAAGATGTGGAAGTGGGCCTCCCCGGTGGCGCAGCGGCTGAGCGCGGGGTTGCGAAGCTGCCCGCAGCCTCTGCAGCGCCCGTTCGATCCCCGGCTGCTCCCCGGCCACCGGAGGAGGGTCCCGCATGGCGCGCAGACCTCTCCTGCCGCCCGCTGCTCCCCTCGGCAGTGCATCTCGGTCCTTCTGCCTGCTCTGCTCCTGACTGTACTCAGTGCTTGTATAAATACATAAATAAATCTTAAAAAAAGAAAAAAGGAAGACAAAACGAGACGTTCTTAAGCATTTCAAGTCAATAATCAGCGAATATAATAGGGAAATGGAGAAGGAAGCACATAGGACAGAAAACTGAGAAACTTACAGAGCTAGTTGGAATAAAACGGTGTCTATAGATATACCCCACCCCAGGCAGGGGACAGCAGCCCAGGCGCACTTAAGTCGAGCGTGGTGAACACAAAGGTGAGAGAGACCCGCAGAGCACCCCGGGAGAGGCAGCCTGTGCAGCGGCGCTCATGGGGACGGCGCGGCAGAGGGCACAGGAAGGCGCTCAAACAACGTAATCCAGGGCAGTAACGCCACAGCACCTGTCAAGATCATGAGCAAAACAAAGACATTCAGATCAAAAAGAAATGTACCATAACTGCGCTCAAGGAAGCGCTAAAGGGCGTGTGTCGTTTAGGATTCAGGAAAAGTGTCCCAGGCGGATGGTCTGAGAGGCAAGGAGTAACAATAATAACCAAGTCTTTCAGATATACAAAAGCATCAACTCCCTAAAGGCAGAGTGAGGATGACAGTAAAATTTAGGAATCTGAGAACGAGTGGTCAAGTGACGATGGGCTAACAGGCTTGAGAGGAACAAAGGGTAAGCCAGGAGAGGGGAGACTCAAAGACCAGGCAAGTTTTTATCCAAGATTCTTTAAAAAGCCCAGGGAATTGGCCATTCTGATCCCGACCTTCACCACCGGATTCTACAAAAGCCTCTGATTCTGGTGCTCACTAGTAAGAGAGTCCAGGCCTCCCCTCCCCAGAAGGCTGTGCGGAAGACTGGGATGAACTTCTCCAAGTCTTAGAGAATTCACTAGGGAGGCCACTGGAACGAGTTTTCTTTGTGAGAGTGGTTTTTACATCAAACACAGTTTTTGACTAGATTCATGTTTTCTATTTTTTTTTTAAAGATTGATTTATTTATACAAGAACTGGGGTACAGGCCAGAGGCACAGGAGTGTGAGGGGACTCCCCAGAGACAGAGCAGGGAGCAGAACAGGTGGCTCTACTGAAATCCACTGCTGAGTGGAGCAGCAGGGAGACAGGAGAGGTCTGCTGCGCCCTGTGGGTAGCTCCTGATGCCTAACTACAAAAGACCCACATGAAACCCAAAGACACAAATTAAACGTGAAAGCTTCGAAGAGGATATTCCAGACAGTAACCAAAAATAAGCAGGTGTGGCTTTCCTAACTTAAGACAAACTAAATAAAAAAAAATGTACAAGAGACAAAGAAGGGCATTATATGTTAATAAAAGGACTAATACAACAAGAAGATATAACAAATAAAATAGATGTACCCAAAACTGGTGGACTTAAAGGGGAAAATACACTCAACAATAGGAGTTGGAGACTTCAATACCCCACTCACAGTAGTGAGTACAACAACCAGACAACATGATTAAGGAAAGAGACAACTTAAATAACATGTCAGCTCGCTCTAACAGTCACATGTGTCACATCTATCCAACATTACCATTCACTTTCAAGTGTACCTGAGACATTTTTCAGGGTAGACCGTATGTTAGAACATGCGCTAAGTCTCAACAGACTTTAAAAGACAGACATTATACAAAATACCTTTAATCACAATGAGACAAAGTTAGAAACCATAACACTGGAATGTTTACAAAATTGTAGAAATTAAAGTTTCTAAAGGATAATAGATCTAAGAATAAGTCAAAAGAGGAATCAGAAGATACTCAGAGATGAAAGAAAGTGAAAATATACAATATACAAAAATTTATGATATGCAGCAAAAGCCATGTAGGGAGGGGCAGATGGAATTTATAACTAAACACATTGAAAAATAAAAAAAGTGGCAAATAAACCACCTAACTTCACAACTTAAGGAAGTAGAAAAAATAAAAAGAAACTATACTTAAAACTAGCAGAAGGAAGGAACTATTAACATTCAAGATAAATGAAAGAGTACAGAAAAAACAACAAAGAAATGAAAAACTAGTTTGAACCAAAAGTTGGTTCTTTGAACAGATTAACAAAATTGATAAACCTTCAGCTAGAAGGCCTGATCTACAAAGACTCAAATTATTAAAATCGTAAGTGAAAAAGGGACATTCAGACCATTTTACAAAAATAGAAAGAATTATAAGAGCATGCTATGGAACACTATACACTGCGCCTCCCTGGTGGCACAGGGGGTTAAGTCTCAGCACTAAGAAGCTATAGGCAGCCACCGGAGCACGAGTTCAATCCCCGGCCAGGGAGCTACCCACATGGCGCAGCAGACCTCTCCTGTCTCCCCGCTGCTCCCCTCGGCAGTGTGTTTCAGGGGATCCGCCTACCCTGCTCCCCACTCTGTCTCTGGGGAGTCCTCTCACCCCCTGCACCTCTGGCCTGTGCCCCAACTCTTGTATGCATAAATAAATAAAATAAAATCTTTTTTAAAAAAGAAAAACCGTACACCAAAAAAAAAACTGGACAACCTAGATGAAATAGGGAAATCCCCAAGAACACAAAACCTACATGTAAGATGAAACACTGAGGAGATAAAAAATCTGAATAGGTCAACAGCTAGTAAGGCAACTGAATGAGTAATCAAAAAATTCTCAACAAGCAGCAGCCTGGCCCTGATGGCTCCACTGGTGAGCTGCATCAGACATTTAACAAAGAGCGAGTACCCATGCTTCTCAAACTTTTTCCAAAAATTGAAGAGGGAGCACTTTCTAACTCATTCTATGAGGCCAGCGTTACCTGGTACCAAAGATAAAGACATCAGAGCAAAAGAGGACGACAGAACAATACTTCCTAGGACCATTCATACAAAAGTCCTCACAAAATATAGGCAACAGCACTCAGCAACATTTCGAAAGGATGATGTGCCATGACCAAGTGGAACGCAAGCACGGCTCCACTCGGCTGGCTCGACGCGGGAAAATCAGTCGTCACATGAACAGACGACGGGGAAAGACGCTGTCTTCTCGGTCAGTACAGGGAAAGCCTGTGTCAAAATTCAAATTGAAGCAGAAAAAGAACTTGACCTAATTTCACGACTAAAAACATTTAAAAGGGGCCTCCCCTGGTGGGGCAGGCGGTTGAGCGCTGCGCTGTGAAGCTGTCCGCCCGCAGCTTCTGCAGCGCCGGTTCCATCCCGGCCGGCCAGCAAGGGTCCCCACAGGGCGCCGCAGACCTCTCCTGTCGCGCCCGCTGTTCCCCTCAGCAGCGTATTTCCTCAGTCTGCTTGTTCTGTTCCCCGCTCCGTCTCTGGTGAGCCTTCTCACCCTCCCACGCCTCTGGCCTGTACCCCGGTTCTTGTATAAATAAATAAAATCAATCTTAAAACAAAAAAAATCTAAAAGGGCCTCCCCGGTGGCGCAGTGGGTTGAGCACCGCACTGTGAAGCTGTCTGCAGCCTCTGCCACGCAGGTTCGATCCCGGCCGGCCAGGGAGATTCCGCATGATGCAGCAGACCTCTCCGGTCTCGCCCGCTGCTCCCCTCAGCAGTGTGTTTTAGTCAGTCTGCCTGTCCTGTTCCCCTCTGCTCTGTCTCTGGTGAATCCTCTCACCCCCCGCACCTCTGGCCTATATTCAAGCTCTTCTATGCGTAAATAAATAAATCTTTAAAAAAATTACTAATGTCAGAAAATAAAACACTCAGGAATTAACAACCAGGGAGTTTAAAGACGTGGACAATGAAAACCACAAACGCTGCCGAGACAAACTCGGAACAACGGCACACTCCCCATTCCTGGGATGGTGACGTGGCATCAAGATGTCAACGCTCCTGTCAGTGACCTCCGCGCCTGGAGGTCTCCCTCTCCAAATCCAGTTACATTATTCACATAGACACACCTGCCCGGAGTGCACGTGGAGTCTTGTGGGGTGCGGATATGGCCACGAGGGCTCCTCAAAGAGACCAGCCTTCTGCACAGGCGACGTCTGCAGGCCTCCAGCGTCCCCGACAGGGCCTCCGGCGCTTCCCGTGCGCACGCGGCATCTCACCCCGCACCCCGCGGGACGGGCATGCACAGGCAGGGCGGGGACCACCTGGTCACACGGGAAGCAAGGTGCAGACCTGGCCGATCACTTCTCCAAAAGGGGGGCACCGGGAGCTGCTGCAGCGCGAACACCCCTCGAAGCCCACGGGGGTTGGGGCCTGGGGAAGCGACCAGGGAGCAGCCCTCCGTCGGGTAGTGCCCTGACCCGCCCGGCCCAATGCGAAGCCCGGGCGCCTGTGGGGTTTTGGCCCAGTGGCCAGGGGGCAAGCCAGTATGGGGCCCAGCTCCAGGGAGGAAAAGCCTCGCCGAGGTGCCTGGGCACAGCCTCGTGGCGGGGGAGCGTGACCCCCATGGGGAGGCTGCCACTCGGGTTTGTTCCGTTCTTGTCTCTGAGAAAAATGACAGATTCAGAGGGAAGCTGGGGTGCCAGGCTGAAGGGCCTGGGGGCTCAAGGGGTGAAGGTGCCTCCTTTTCCATGGGAGACAAGTTTCCCAGGGGGCCTCGGTGCTCCCAGCGCTCCCCTCACCTCAGTCCGGACTCGTCTCCTCCCCAAGTCCACACTCGCTGCCTTGCCCCGCCCCTCCTCACAGGGCACCCCCAAAGCCGCCACCTCCTCTTCCCACTGCCTCCCTCCTGTGCGCCCCTCTCAGCCCACCGCCATCCTCGCTCACCCCCTAGGCCGGGCATGGAGCCCACTGGGCTCACGTGGCCCTGGCCTTGGCCCTGGGCCCTCCCCACGGGGCCAGCAGGAGGCGCTTCCAGGCTCAGAAAGGTCCCTCCTCCCTCCAGGGATCTGTCCACGTGGGCCCAGGTGCCGCTTCTCACGGAAATCGATCGCCACCCCCAGGGAGCAGCAGACAAGCCGGGCTGCGCACACCCTGCTGGTCTCGGAGACGTGCGCGTGGCCACGGCGACATGCACACCTTAGCCCTTCTGAGCTGCTGCTTTTCACTCTCAACAGCGTTTTATTTCCACGCTGGGGAGCGGGAGGAGAAATGCATCATAGAGGACATCCCCAGCGACACGCTGATCACAGGTAGGAGCCCCACGGGGCTGGCGAGCGCAGACGGGGCCTGGGCCTGCACGTGGCTCCGAGAGGCCGACTGGCGCGCTCGGGTCAATCCGAGCAGAGGAGCGCGGAGCCCGAGTCCCAAGCTGGCCCAGGCCAACAGGAGGCGAGGTCTCTGGCCTAGTCCAGCTCAAGGACACGCAGCAGGAGGGGGTGCAGGGCGGGCTCAAAGCTCCCACAGGTGGGCTTCCCACGGGGCCCGCCATCCACACGGCCCAGCCCCCGGCCTTCCCGGGCAGGACAGGGCTCTCGGAACTGGAGGGGCCGGATCGTCTGCGTCCCAACGAGCACAGTGGTCCCTGTGCCTCCTCCCTGACGTGAGCACAAACAAACGCGCAGGACCCCCTGGGCACCCCCGCGCATCCCTGCCCTGCATGCTAGGCGTCTCCACAGACCAGGCAGTCCCCGATGGGAGGCAGCGGGGGGCAGAGGTTCGCACCAGCAGGGTGGCGGGAGCACCCGCTTGGGCTGGGGAGGTGGCCGGGCCACCAGACCACGGCCCCGCTCTGCCCCACAGCCGCGGGCCTGGCAAGGGTCTGCCCGTCTTGGCTAGTATGCTGGTGCCATCGTGACGAGGGCTTTGGGCATCCAAAAACCAGGGGAGCTCGTGGCACCTGCCAGCACAGCCTCAGCCCTGGCCCCACAGCTGGGGGTGGGGGGGGCGGCAGCCACCACTAGCTGGCCGGACTCATCCCACAATTCTCAGCAGTGGGCCCCAGGCCCTGGCCCAGGGTGGCAGAAGCAGGAACAGAGGCTGGGCACACAGCACCCCCTCCAGCCTTGCGCCAACGCCGCCCTGCCAGACACCTCGCTCCCCCCCCGGCCTCCCCCCCAGCCCCCCACGCAGCCTCTTCAGGCCTCTCCCCAGCAAGCACGAGGTCTCGCGGTCTGGGCCCTAAGGTCCACCCCCACTCCAGGGCCGTGTGGGGCCCCAGGGGTCAGGCCTCCCTTTCCCCTTCAAAGACAAGCTGGGGAGCAAGTCCCAGGCTGGCCAGCGGCCCGCGGAGCAGGGGGCAGGCGGAGGCGGCCTGTGCACGGCCCCAGCCAGGGCCAGCGTGTCCAGGCTGGGCGTGCGCTGCGGGGGCAGCCAGTGCCGGCTGGGACCTGGCGGCGACCCCACAGACGCTGCGGAGAGGAGCCGCTAGTCAGAGGCACACAGGCACCGCGCGGGCGTGGGGGGGCCGAGGCACACCGTGGCTCAGCTCAGCCCCGCACTCTGGCCCGCGCGCAGCCCCACGGCCCCGCCGGGCCCCCCCCCCCCCCCCCCCCCCCCCCCCCCCCGGCGTCTCCTCCGCCCTCTGCTGGCGGCCGGGCCGGCGGCCGCCCGGCACCGCGCCCTGCGCGCTCGCGCGTCCCCGCCAGCCGCGCCTCCCCGGCCGCGCCCCTGGCCTCGGAGCGGGCGGCGCGGACGGTCCTCCCCCGGGCTGGGGCGCGGCGCGGCGGGGTCCGCCGGCGCCCCCAGGCGGCCGCGCGCAGGCCCCGGGCGCGCTCGACTCACCTCCGCGCCCCGCCTCTCCTCCCGCGGCCAAGCTCGCGCTCGGGGCCGCCACCCCATCGCCTGTGCCGGCGCCCAGGGTCGGGGCGCCCTCGCCCGCGGCTGGCGGTTCCCAGGCGCGCGGGGCCGCGCTCTGCTCCCTCCCCGCGGCCTCACAGAGAAGCCCCGCGGCGCGGGGTCCCCGCGGCCTCGTCTCCGTCCGCGCACCCCGCAGCAGCTCCCCGAAGGGCGCGCTTCGGAGACTGTTTTCGTTGCCCTCAATGTCCGGCCTCCACCCCCCAGGCCAGTTTGGGGCCCGGGACCCCGCGGCCGTCCTCTTCCTGCAAGGCCCGGGCACGACGTCTCGGTGAGACCCGCGGGCCCCCGCCCGGAACCGGCAGCCTCACCTCCCGCCAAGCCCGGTGGGTTCTCGGCCAGCACTTCCCGCGGCTCCTGCGCGGCCGCCGGGGCCGGCCTTGTCCAGATCAGGTTGTTCCCTGACGGCTTTCAAGCCCCCGGCCAGCTCCTGTGCGATGCTTGGATTTACTAGAAGAGCTCTGGTCATTCCGATGACCACGGCGCCCCCGGGCATTTCCGAAGTGGCAGAAAACACCTGCGGGGCTGGAACAGGCTGGAGACCCGTCCCCCACACCGCGGGCTGGTCAGCAGCCAGGGAGCCGTGTGGGCCGCCCAGGCCACGTGGAGGGCGGTGTGGGGACGGGCCTCTCCCTGTGGAGACCGGCGCCGTCTCCAGACAGGGGCATCAGATCCTGCCGCGCCCAGGAACGGCCAGTGGGCGTGGGGAGGCCGCAGCACCCACCCAGCCTCCTCCGACGGTCTCCCCGCCATCTTTAGCCCAGTCAGGGAGACCTCGGTGTCCAGCACCGGAGGAGGCGACCAGTTGCTCGCCCTCCTGCCCCCCAACACGTTCTCATTCAAGCGCGTCCACTCTGTTGACACGTTTTCAAGACGGCTGCTTCAGAAAGCTTGTCAGGCACCTCGAGTCTCCTCCCAGCCGGGCTCTGCCAGCGCCCGAGTGCCGGCCTCTGGGGGTGCTGCTTCCCGGTGCTCCCTCCGCGCCGGGCGTCGCAGACGTGCTCCCGGTGGGCGGGAAGCGGGTGCCTCTCGCTCCGGCTCCGACGCGGCTGTGTCCACCGCCCAGCGGCTCCTGCTCCATGTTGGGGGGTCCAGGCAGGTTCTCTCTGAGGCCCGGGAGCAACTGAGACGCCGCCCCCCAAGGGGGCCTCTCCACCGAGAGACTCGCTAACACTTGGTGCTCCAAGGCACGGGGCGCCGCCTCCCGACGCCCCCTCCAGCACCCGCAGCGCTCCGTGGCCAGGCAAGGTCCCCTCAGGCTGCCAGGCTGGCCCTCTGGCTCCCAGGGAGGCGGCTGTGCCGAGGGCTGGGGAACGGGTCCCAACCGCCTCCACGGCCCCGTGAGGCGACTGTCCTGCGCGCTGAGCGGACACGGACGCAGGCCCACGCCTCTGCACAGCCCACCGCGCTGGCCCGGCGGCGCCCGTCTCCACAGCAGCCCCCCCCACCAGCCCCTTACTATGGACCGGGGGCCTCCACCGTCTGGCTGGCCAGCCTCCCTCCCGCCCGCTCTCCTGCCCCCCCGCATCCAGTCCCGCCGACAGCGCCCTTGGTGTGGCGGCGGCATCACATGCTGGCAGCGGAGTGGCTGCTCAGCAGGTGCACGGGCTGCTTGTCCTGTGCTTTGGGCTCATCAGAGTAAGATCATCGGCAGAAGAGCATCCGCCCCCCCAGGCAGCTGTCACCCAAGTTCAGGCCACGGGTGCGAGCACCTTGGGAGGACCCTCTGTGTGGGCCACGTTCAAACACAGACAGGCGGGCCTGTGCCCGCGCCTGGTCGGAGGTCTCCTGGGAGCGCCGCAAAGCCAGCACTGGACATGGCTGAGGCAGGGCCCACCCCGCTGCAGGGAGCTGGCCGCTGCCTGTAGGGCCCTCTGCCTTGGGCCAGGCTGCAGGAGGCGCTCCCCACCCCCCCGCCCCCAGGTCAAACCACTGGACTGGCAGGTGCCCTCCTCCGCCCATCCCCAGGTGGGGCCGAGCGCCCTCTGGCCAGGAAGCCCTTGGCAGGAGGCCCTGGGGCGGGGTTAGCTGGAGAGCAGATGGAGGCCTGGGGGCCATAGGCTCACGGGGTGTGGGAAGCCCCCCAACTTGCCCCGGGGCCGGGTCGACATTCTAGGAGGAGCCTGACCTTTACCGCCATCACGCCCGCAGCCCTGAGACCTGAGGTGCGGGCAGAGGGATCTGTAAACAAGAGTGCCCTGCCCTGGAGTCTGGGACCGGGCCAGGGGCCCCACCGCGCCATGTACGCGGCCTGGCAGCACCTGTTTCCGCACAGGGACCTTCAGGATTCAGCAGTGGGATGTGTCCCGGCATGACTTCCTCGAGTCTGCTCCCGGCCTGGGCGTGTTTGTGACCGTCAAGACCTACGACGATGAGGTGAGAGGCTCGCTGAGCTCTGCCGCCTCAACTTCCCACTTGCCAGAAATCCCTCCCCCGCCTCCCCTCGAGTGTCCACTCCCTCCAGCAGGCGCGCCGGCCGCACCCCCACTGCCCTCGGGGTCCTGGGCCCAGCCCGGCCAGCGGCCTCGAGAGCTGCGTCAGCTGAGGCCAGACGCTGCAGAGCACCCGGGCACCGCACACGTCAGCTGCTGCCACCCACTCGCTGCCCGCCAAGGCTGCCTGGTCGCGCGGGGCCTCCAGGCCAGCAGGGCGCACCTGCCCCCTGCAGCACGACGGCACCCATTTCCTGACCCATGAAACACGGGCCTTCAGCGCGCGCGGCTATCCCTCGGGGGAGACGGGCACACGTCAGAGCCCACAGGAACAGGGCTCGTGGCGCGGCGTCTCCTCTGGTGCGCCCGTGCTTCACGTGGACCCTTCTGACCTGGTCAGCGACAAGTTGCTTCAACCTCTGCCTTGGAAACGCCCATTTCTCCTTTTCTTCCAAACAACCCCGGGGGCTGGGCCCTGCTCTCAACGCCGCGGAGCCGGCTCGGCTTCTGAGGGCTCCATGCGACTCCGACCAACGTTCTGCCTGTCTCTGTAGCTGCGGCTTTTGTGACTCTGGTGCTGTCGTGATTTATCTTTGACTTCCTGTAGGTTAATATGGTGTGACTGGCGCAGTTGTGGAATCTTGTGTGTTTATGCTGCCTGGTATCCAGGCCACGCTGCGGGCTCTGCAGCTGGGTAGCCAATACTGAGCTGGGGAAACTCCTTCCGTTACTTTCACCCTCTCCCACCTGGCCTTGCCTTTGCACTCGACCTTCAAAAGGTGCCCCCAAATTCTGGGACCTTCTGTTCCACTTCTTTTCAGCCTTTCCCGGTTTCCGGTATGAGGAAGCTTCTGTGGGCAGACCCTCAGGCTCGGCTGCAGCCACCTCACCGGCATTCCTGGCCCCTGAGCCCCCAGCGCTCTGCTGCCTGCTTGCTTGTTCCCCTCCACACACCCGCCCCGTCCACGAGGGCCGCTGTCGTGTTCCTCTGAGTTCCTGACAGTCCCAGTGTTCCTGCTGTATCCGGATCTGATCCTGACGCCTGTTCTGTCCCCTCAAACTGTATTTGTGCCTTTTAGTATGACTGGTCGTTCGTGGTTGAAATCCAGACAGGATGTTTCCAGAAGAACCCAGCACCGGTTCCCACCGGCTTCTGCTCTTTTAAGATGTGATTCTTTGTTCCTGGCTTATTTGTCTCTCCAATTTGAGGAGCAGCAGTTTGCCCTAAGACCTCAATTGTCTGATAGAAATAAGAACTGACCTCTCTCTTGTTCAGCTTTTTACTTGTTGTCAAGACAGAGTGACTCCATGCTCCTCCACCAAGCTGGAAATCTGTTGTTGAAACATTGATGACACATAAACAAAACAGATAATCAAGGTTCCTTATACAAATATAAGCATCTCACAGCTTGACATATGATCTTCAGAATCCTCATCTAGGCCACAGAAACGCACAAGTATGTGTGGGGGTCTACAAATGGCATTTTTATGAAATCCCATCCTGTGCGATGGCGCCCCACAAGACACAGGGCACCTGTGGCGCAGACACGGGTGAGACATTCTCTTATGGTCACAGAATGCTCCTTTATTTGGCTTTGCTGAGTTTAAACCAGGTATTAAAGTTATTTCAGGAAAGCAGTTTTGCTGTTACAAAGCACCACACAAAACATCCTTTCGCATGTGACTATCTACTTGCATGTGCTCATGGGACACATTTCCAGGGGCAGATGTGCTGGGCGATGGTGACGTGCGTTTTAATGCCAAACTACCTCCGTAACGGTGTTTCTACTTACACTCCCAAATGATGTTTGAAAAGCAGTTATTTCCAAAACTTTGCCACTCTGGTAACAAACAAAGGGTACATACTTGTGGTTTGTACTGAAGCCACAGAAGAGTGAATATTTCCCACACTTATGGGCAATTTAGTCTACTATTTATGGGATTTTAGTAGATTATATGGGGGGGGTTGCTTGTTCTTAAGAATGGAAATAGGGAGCCCCCCTGGGGGCTCAAGGGTTAAGTCTCAGTGCTATCAAGCTGTCGGCAGCCACTGCGGCAGGAGTCCGATCCCCGGCCAGGGAGCTACCCACAGGGCGCAGCAGACCTCTCCTGTCTCCCCGCTGCGCCCCCTCAGCAGTGGATTTCAGTGGATCTGCCTGTTCTGTTCCCCACTCTATCTCTGGTGTATCCTCTCACCCCCCCCCCACACCTCTGGCCTGCACCCCAGTTCTTGTATGCATAAAAAAGTAAAAGTAAACCTTTGGAAAAAAAAAAAAGAAAGAATGGAAAATAAACAGTAAAGCTATGGAAATCCTCAATCCTAGGTATTGTTGTCGAAGTTACACGGCTCACAAGGAACATTCTATTTCACATCCCATTCACCTGGAGAGCACATCATCTGCTTGGAATCTAATTCCACGAGGCTGGTGTCATTTGGAGGGAGTAAGCTGGTGAGTGTCAGCCTCCAGTCCTCTGGGAGAGCAGGGCTGGCATTACTGACCATGATGTGGACACACAGGATCCACTCAGACTGGAAGCCCATGAAAATTCTCACCTAGACCAGCACAGCAACCAATGACAGAGCTGGAGGGCTTGGAAGGGGTTCAAGGGCGAGCCGGGAGTAATACGAGCTGTGGGGAGGTGGAGAGAGCTGTGGCTATTCAGGCTGGAAAACAAGCAAAGGCCGGGGGCCCAAGAGTAATGGTGTCCTAGTCCCTGACTCCTGCCCAGTAGGGTGGCTCGGTCTACACGTGCTGAGAACAAAGAGAACTTGCACTTCAGCATCAAGATCGAGTTTTGGGTGAAGAAATCTCCCTGCGCGATGACTCCTCTTGGCAGCAGAGGCAGTGGCAGGTGTGGGTGCCCAGGGGGGCCGCCTCGGGCTTGCTGCTGCAGAAACACGGAGGGGAGGGGGGCCAGGAGAGGACTCGGCAGAGACAGAGAGGGACGGGGCGCTGGTTTGAAAACATGTTTCTTCCTTTTTACTGTTCTCACAGCGAGTCCACTTAGATATCCGAGTCGGAGAACACGACCTGGACGTGGCCATCGCTCAGGCAAAGGACAAAGTCAACGAAGTCAGCTTCAAGCTCGAGCATCTAACTGAGCAAATTGAGCAGATACTCAGAGAGCAGGACTACCAGAGGGTCAGTCTGCTCGCGGCTCCCCGCACCAGGCGAGGCCCGAGGGCCGCGGGGGGCGGCTCCTGTGTCCTGGGCGCTGGACGGGCCGCCCCGGGGTGGGGGCGCGGCGCCAGAGAGGGGCGCGGGCTGGGGAGCTCCAGCGCCGCCCTCCCCGTCTCCGCAGGGCCGCGAGGAGCGCTTCCGCGCCACCAGCGAGGGCACCCACAGCGGCGTCCTGCGCTGGGCGCTCGCGCAGACGCTGCTGCTGCTGGCCGTCGGGCTGCTGCAGATGCGGCACCTGCGCGCCTTCTTCGTCGCCAAGAAGCTCGTGTAGCCCCGAGACGCGCCCGCGGGGGGGGGGGTGAATAAAGCAGCGCCCGGGCCATGGCCGGCGGAGCAGAGCAGAGCAGCCGCGTGCCCCCGCCCGTCCCCCGCCCCGCCCCCCCACCCCCCCACCCCCCCACCCCCCACCGCCCGCTCCCCACACACCGCCCGCTCCCCACACACCGCCCGCTCCCCGCGCCGCCCGCCTCACGCTCGCCCCTGACACCGCCCTCCCGCCGACATCCCCGCCCCCCCCACGCCAACCCCGCGCCATCCCCCGCGCCGCCCGCCTCACGCTCGCCCCCGACGGCGCGCCGGGCCGGGCTCCTCACGGGCGCGGGCTCTCGCCCCTCCGCCCCCGAGCTCGGGCGGCCCGGGCCACGCGACGCATCCTCGCACCGCCGCTCCGGCCTCGGCGCGCGCCTCACCTGCAGGCGGAGGGCGCCGGGCTGCGTCGTGGCGGGCCTCGGCCTCGCCGCCTTCCCGCCTCCGCCGCGCTCTGTGCGCAGGCGCGGGGCCGGGGCTGCGTGCGCAGACGCGCGGCAGCTCGGCGTGCGCAGGCGCGCAGCGGGCCTCTGTGCGCAGGCGCGGAGCGACCGCTGCCGCGTGCCCGCCCCGTGGTCCCGCGGCCTGACTCCCGCGCCCCGGGACTCCTGGCCTCCGGGCGGCGCCGGCCGGCATGGCCAGCTGGGTGTTCTGCAATCGCTGCTTCCAGCCGCCGCACCGGACGTCGTGCTTCAGCCTGACCAGCTGTGGCCACGTGTACTGCCACGTCTGCCTGGGCAAAGGTCAGGCGGACAGGGCCGCCACCTGGGACGGCGCCGAGGGGCGGGGCCTCCCGGAGGGACGGGCCTCTGGGGGGCGGGGTCTCCGGGGGCGGGGCCTCTGGGAGGGGCGGGCCTCCAGGGCGGGGCCTCCGGGGGCGGGGCCTCCGGGAGGGAGGGCCTCCGGGGGCGGGGCCTCTGGGAGGGGCGGGCCTCCAGGGCGGGGCCCGGGAGGGGCGGGGCCTCCGGGAGGGAGGGGCCTCCGGGGGCGGGGCCCGGGAGGGGCGGGGCCTCCGGGGCCGTGCCCGGCGGGTACCGAACTGGCCTCTGCCCCGTGCGAGCCCGGGTGGCGGCCCCCAGCGTCCGGCGGGGGTGAGGCCGGAGCCCGAAGGGGCCGGGGGAGGGCGGCGCGGGGGCTCGGAGCGGCCGGGGGCGGGGGGGGGGGGGGGGGGGGGCCGCCCAGCCCGGGCCGTGGGGGTCTTTCCGGGTCCGGTGCCGCCCCGCAGGGCCGAGCCGCTGGGCCGGGAGAGCTGCCCTCGCCGCGGGCCCCGCGCTGCCCCCACGCGGGCGGGCCCCGCCTCGGCCACCCCCGCGCCTGTCCCCCGCGTCTCAGGTGCGGCGGGAGCGCAGCCGGTGCCGGCCGCTGGGGGGGGCGGGCCCTGCAGAGGGCAGCCCCGCCTTGGGGTGATGCTTCCACGAGGGGGCGACCTCACCACGTGCTCGGGGGCCCTCAGGGGCCCTGGTCCAGCCGCCGCCCACTGCGTGGGGTTCGGGCGGAGGGTAGGGACGCTGAGCGCAGGCCGCAAGGACGTCGTCCTCCCGTGGCCCCTGTGGGTCGCCCCGGGCCGGGGTTGCTGGCACTGCAGGTCCCGGCACCGACCCACGCGTGGGACCCCGGCTCTGGCTCTTGGCTGCTTTAGACAGGAGGGGGCCTGGGGAGGGACGGCCACGGCGGGGCCAGAGCAGGGCCCAGGGGCCCCGGGTGAGGACTGCGGCGTCCAGCGAGCCGGGAGACCCGCAGCGGCGTGTCGGGGGCGGGAGAGCAAGCTCGGAGCCTCCCTCGTGGCCTCCCTGGAGGTCGATTTTCACGACCTGGGCGTTTTCCCAGCGCTGTAAGCTCCGAAGGAGGGAAGGAGCGGTGATGGGGCCTCAGGCTGTGGGGCACGCGTCGCCGCTGGGCGGAGGGCAGTGTCGCTGCCGCCTGTCGGGCTGGCGGGGGCCAGCCACTTGGCCCTGGTGCTCTTCCTCCAGGCGGGAAGGACAAGTGTGCCATCTGCCGCGCTCCCTGCCGCACGGTCCCGCTCTCCAAGCACGTAAGTTGGAACCTCCTCTCGGAGCCGGACGCGCCTTCCTTTGACACCCTTCGGCACGGAGGCATCTGTGGCGGCCAGGTCTCCCCACACCGAGTGGCCAGAGATAAAGTGACGTCTAACGTCTGGGGGCGCCCGCCTCGCGCTCCATCTGGATTTCCATCCCTGGTCGCCCCGCCAGGGCCTGCGTCCACCCCACAGGGCTGGCCTTGCTTCTTGGGGATGTCGAGGCTGTCCAGTGCGGGTGGGCTATTTCCCGTTGCCCGTCTCGGGTCCTGGGAGTGGCTCTGGGGGCTGCTGGGCAAGGCGGGCCCCCGGGGCCTGGGACAGGTCTTGGTGCTGGGTCCAGCGGGTGCCCAGCCCCCGGGAGTGGGCTCTGCACACAAGCATGTCTCTTGCAGACCGACTGGGACATCCAGGCGCTCTTCTTGCGCGTGGACAGCCTGTGTGCCAGGTACTCTAGGGACACCGCACAGGTGAGCAGGCGCACGAGGCGCCCGCGGGGTCGCCCACCACAAAGCCAGAACAGCTGCGCCCCTCATCCAGCACCCCCGCCCCCGCACACACCCCATCTTGCATCTGGGTGTAGCGCCCAGCTGGGCTGCCTGGACTCGCAGCTTTGGGACGCTGCCTGCCCCGAGGGGGACAAGGAGGGCCACTTCCCACCGCTGTCCCTCTGGGGTGACTGTCCTCTGGCTTCCGGGTGCCACGGCCTCTCCAGACCACCTGCTCAGTGACCCTGTCGCCAGGCTCCTGCACGCCCACCCTGGGTGTGGCAACTGCTGGGCTGTGCTGGGCGCCGAGGACGGCAGCTGTGGCCCCATTTGCAGCCGGAGGCCCCTTCATGCTAGACTTTCCAGCTGGGCACTGCCGTTGGTGACCTGGGAAAGTGCCCCTGGTGACTCTCAGGACCCGGGGCACAGCTTGGGGGAGCCCTGCAAGGACCAGCCTCAGCGGCTTGGGGGATGGGTGGCAGTGGCCGGGGGCTGGTTTCATGGGGCCGCACACAGGGCTTGGGCAGCTCCCGTGAGCTGGACGCCACGTCTCTGGCGGGCTGGGTGCTGGCGGATGCACCCGGCAGGGCTGGGCCCAGGAGTGGGCCCCCTACCCCAGGAAGCACGGGCCTGGGCAGGTGGGGTGGGCAGAGCCACGCCCCCCAGCGCGGGCCCTGATCCTGTCTGCCCCCACCCCACGCCCTCTCCCGGCTGGGGCTCTTTGATTGTCACAGGACATGGCCCGGCACCCTCTGGCTGCGGCGGAGCGAGAAGAAAAGGCAGCTCCCGCTGGCTGCGCCAGTGAAGGGGGCAGCTGCCCGCAGCGGTGGGGAGGCTGCCTGCAAAGCCCAGCAGCAGGGGAGGGGGCGGAAGCCACTGGGCAACTCGGGTGAAGCTGCAGGTGGGGTGGGGCCACCTTGGCGCAGCAGGAGGGCACTGACACTCTGTGTGCACCCAGGAGAGCCCCCGTCTGTCACATGGACCCGCATGGCCACTCTCAGCCATCCCCCAAAAAGTACAAGTGCAGGGGGTGAGCTCCTGCTCCCTGGTCCCGCCAGGCAGGAGGTCCCTTTTCACACGTCAGGCCCAGCTCCCCGTGGAGCGGGCGGCTGCTGCCCCCGCTGTGCAGGACCGGGGTCAGTCTCGAGCAGGGCTTGGCCCTGAGCCCCCCGCACATGGCCCGACTCAGGGGCGCGGGAGGCCGGGCTGCTGGCTTCAGGCGTGGCAGTAGAGGCCCTGGGGTCTTGGTCGCCAGCCTCTGCCCAGCCCCCTCTGCAGGGTCCCCGCCCACGGGACACCTGTGAGCCAGGCCTGGGGCCAGCGGCCCGGGACTCCACGCGGTCTTCCCAGGTACTCGTCCGTCCGCCTCCTGCTTGCTGGCTCCCCCGATTGTCCGCCCCGCGGGGGGCCGCTGCAGCTGGGTCCTGGCCGGGCCGGCCTGTCAGCTGGGCACGCTTCTCAGATTTCAGAGTTTCAAGAAAAGCACAGGAGGAGACTCTTGGCTTTCTACAGAGAGAAGGTGGGTCCTGCTGCGTCCCCGAGCGCCTAGCGCTGGGGTGTCCCCGGCAGCGAGCGTGGCTCCACTCCCTGCGGCATGGGGCCCTGCCTGAGTGCCCGCGCCCTGGCCGCTGTCTCCCTTGCCCAGGTCTGGAGGCTAGAGGACGCCCTCAGAATGTCGGCGCTGCAGGTGCAGCAGCTGCAGAGGTGAGTGGGCTGCACCCCCTGGGCAGGGCGGGGAGGCCTGCCTGGGTGACCTGCAGTGGGAACGCCCAAGGGCAGGGAGGGGCGAGGAGAGGGGGGCAGTCCTGGAGCCGGGGGCAGGGGCTGACCTGGGCTGCTCCTGTGAGGGCCCTGCAGGGCTGGTAACTGGAGGCCCTCAGTGGACGCTCCCTGAGGCCTCGGGCTCCACCCCAGGGCAGGCCCGGGGGCCCTGGTGCAGGCCGGGTCGTGGCACACGGGTGTAATACCGTCTCCCCGCCCAGTGCCAGGGCGGCTCCGCAGGTGGCCTCGGGCACAGTTCGGACCTCGGTCTCGAGTAAGTGCAGCTGCCGGGAGGGGCGGGAGAATGGCGGGGGCCCCTGAGCCTCACACGCATCCCCGCAGCTCCGTCCGCAAGGCCACACGGCTGCCCGCTGCTGCTCCTGGATGCGCCGGCCTCCGTGAGGTGAGTGGGCTGCGGGCCCTGCAGGGTTCAGCCGCGTGGGCAGTGCTGGAATCGCCTGACCCGGGGCGGCCATTGCCTGCTGGGCAATGGGAGGGGCGAGGACAGGGATGGCTGGAGCCCTGAGCAGGGAGCCCGCAGGAGGCAGAGGCAGGCGCGGGCGCCTGGGGCCAGTGCTGCGCCTGGACAGCGGGAGCCTCCCACTGCCTTTCTCAGAGCAGAGCCCATGGACGTGGACTCGGAGCCGACTCCGAAGAGGAGGGTAAGTGCTCCGTGCGGCGTGGCCCCGCAGGCCTCTGGCCTGAGTGCTGGACCGGGCCGGTCATAAACCAGGAGACGCCGGGAGAACTGGGCCGTGGGTACAGTACGAGGAAGGACAGCAGGAGAGGTGTGCTGGCCCCGCTACCTACCAGGAGTGGCGTTGCCCAGGCGGAGAGGCCGAACTCACAAGTGGACAGGCTGCAGGAGGGCAGGGGCAGAGCAGCGCTCCCGAGGGGCCTCTTGTCGCAGCGCCGTCCTAGGGGCTCAGTCCTGCCCTGGGAGGCCCTGTGGGTGGAGCGGGCCCTGGGCGGCTGGTCAGAGTGCAGGCCAGGGGCTGGGCCATGGACCCGGGAGGGCCACCGGGACCATGTTCAGGGCCCGGCCAGTGTGGAAGGGCCCCCTGAGGCCCGCCCATCCGCCAGGCGGTGGGGGACATCTCGGTGCAACCCCCCTGGCCCCCTGGGCGTCTGGTCAGGAGCTTGGTGGCTGTGTGTGGGGCACGAGCATTGTCTACTGTGGGCGGCACCCACCTGTTCTTCCCCGCAGCCCGAGGGCGCAGCTGGCCCCATGAGGATCTCCCTCATCAGCCCCCCGCAAGACGGGCGCATGGGTAAGTGGGGCCTTCTGCGAGGCGGATGTGGTGGCTTCCTGTGGGAGAGAAGCTGGGGCTGCTGAAGGGCTGCGCCCTGTGCTGTGCGCCCTGCAGGCCGGCCTGCCTCCAGCTGCGCCCCTCCCGGAGCTCACCAACCCGAGGTGGGCGGGGCGGGCACTGCTCAGGTCCTCCTGTCCCCATAGGCAGCGTCTGCCGCCCGGGCAGCACCCCACTCCCTGGCCCGACGCCCACGCGTATGGCTGCTGCCACAGCCCTGAGGTGGGTGAGCGTCCCCCCACCGCCCTGCCCTGCCCTGCCCAGGCCCTCTGCTTGCGGAGGCTGCTGGTGCCGGTGACTGCTTTGTGGGAGATGTGCCCCGCGCCCGGGTGGGGCCTCAGCCCAGCCGGGTGCTCCTGCAGAGGAGGGGGGACAGAGCTAGCTGGGATCCCCCTCCCTGGCCCCAGCCCTGGCCGTCCACCCTGGGCTGTCGGGGCCAGCGAGCACCCGTACATGATCTTCAGACCCCCAGGGCCGGGGAGGCCCTGGCTGCAGTGTGGGCTCCCCTGACGGCCATGGTCCTTCACAGGGGGGTGCCGCCGGCCCACACGCCCACCCCGCCGCCCAGCCTCGTGGGAGCAGACCCCTCACCCAGGCCCCCCATTAGCATCTCGGGGCTGCGGCAGCGTGGAGGCAAGTGCACGGGGGACACAAGGGGAGGCTGGGGAGACCCCGCCCCCGCCTGACCCCACGCTCCTGCAGGGCCTGCGTTGGGGAGGTGAGCCGCCCGCACTCCGCGCCCTCGGACCAGCTGTGCCTCTGACCAGCCACCACGCCCCACCAGGGCCGGTCACCACGCCGTTGAATAAAGTCCTTTCCCAACTCTGTGGGGCCTCCGTGCCTTCCGACGGGCGGCGTGAGGCCTGGCTGCAGATGCAGGGGCGCCCGCGCTGCCCTGTGTGGGGCCGGGTGCTTGGGGCACCCTCTGGTGCAGAGATGCCGCCCCCGAGCGCCCTCTCCGCACTTGCCCCCACCAGCAGGGTGGGAGAAGAGGTGTCGGCACTGACCACAGGGCCGTGCCCCGCCCCTCCCTGGCCCTGGCCGCCCTCGCCCGTGGGCCTGGCTGCGAAGATGCTCGTGGGGAGCTGCCGGCGGGGCGGAGGGGAACGCGCACGCTGGAGGAGCGTGGGCCTGCGACGGGGATTGGCTGCTCGCCCAGCCTTTGCCTGACGGGACACGACCCTTGATTCCCGGCATTGGCCTTGCTGTTTGCTCACAGCTGCCTTCTGTCTGGCCAGGTAAATCTGGGGCGTCTGGTCAGGGCTGTGGGACCTTGAGCTCAGCACGCCCATGATACCCCACCCCTGCCCGCCATGGAGTGCCTTGGCTGCCCAGCGGGAGGCCTGTGGGGTCTGCGGCCTGTGGGGCCCCTGGGCTGTTCGGCATCCTCTGCAGGCAGGGCCTGATGCCCAGTGTCTCCGGTGTGGGGTCTAGGGCAGCGGTGGGCTGGTCACGTGGCCCCTCTGGAGCCCCCGCCTCACGGCTGGACCCCATGGACTCGGCGCCCCCATGCTGGTGGAACCAGCACTGGAGCCTCAGACTTCAGCCCGCGTGGCCAAGTGGCTGACGAGGGGATGGGCCCACGAGCCTGCGGACTCCAGCCTGCGGGAGCTGGCGTGTCCAGTCCGGACCGGAGGCCGAAGTGACTGGCGTCCTCCCAGAAATAGTCCAGTTCTCCTCCTGAGCAGCCAGCCGCCCCTCGAGGGGCCTGCTATTACGGGGCCCTGGGGTGGGCTGGCCCCTGCGGCCGGGCGCTCAGAGTGGGGGGTGACACAGCGGGCCGCAGGCCACAGTGCGGGGGCCTGTTAGCCGGCACGGACTCCCAAGGCAGGCCTGGCGGGCAGCGCAGCTTCCATGCCATGTGCCCAGCGGGGCTGGCCTGCCCACGAGGGGTGGAGGAGGGTGTGTGCAGCCAGCAGACGGCCCTTCCCCCTGTCAGGAGAGGAGCATGCCCACCCCACAGGCCGTCGTGGGCCCTCACCCAACTGGGCATCCCTGCCAAGGGGCCACCAGGCACTGTGGGCGCCTTTGCACGGGGGACACCTTGTGTTTAGGGCTCTGGTTACAGTTCCAACGCGCATGTGGGGGTCCAGGCACGCTCTGCCTGCCCCCATCTTGCCCTGCCCTTCTAGAGACCTGCCCGCGACTTGTTCTCTCTCTGCGTCCAGGGTGGGTCCCCACGAGGGCCCTGCCCAGTGGGCAGCAGCTCTCTGTCTGCCTGTCCGCCGCTGCCCCTTACTGAGGCCTGGCGGGCTGCACGGAGGAAGCCAGCACCGGGCATGGTGTCCTGCGCTGGCCTCGCACAGGAGCCAGAGCTTCGGCTGCTTTTCAGACAGGATGGATTGGATGGACTGCCATGAAGTGTGCGTGGACGCAGGGGGGCGTCCTGGGCGAGGGCCGCGGGGGAGTGGGGGGCGTCCTGGGCGTGGGCCGCGGGGAGGGCGGTGTCCTGGGTGGGGAGCAGGGGGACAGCCGTCTCGGCAGTCTTGGATGCGTTTTCCATAGTGGGGTGTCTCTCCAGCCACTCCCCAAGCAGCAGTGGCCCCCACTGTCCACAGAGGGTTAACGATGTCATGGCTTAACCCCCACTGAGCCGGTAGGGGCACTGGCAAGGGGTGGGCACCACCCGCAGCCTCCGGGAGGAAGTGCCAGTCCACTTCCTGGCAGGTGGGCTGCTGGGGAACCCCCGACCCACGCCAGCCCCGGGTGCCCCCCCCTCCATCAGGGGTCCCCACAGAGCAGCAGCTGTGGACGAGGAGGTCCAAGGCATTTTCCTTCCAGAGAAGGAAATTCCTGGGGCTCCTGGGGTAGGTCCCACGCTGCGCCGGGGCTTGTGCTGCGGCCCGTGCCCGGACCCCGTCTGGCTGGCGAATGCCTCCCTCAGGCTCCAGCGGTGCCCAGGCCCCATGGCAGATCTGAGAGGCGCGAGGGCCAAGGCCACCTGGGTGCTACCCCGCCTGGCTCAGGCCCCCCTGCGTGGCCTGCAGCCCCATCCCTGCGCGTCCATTTGGGGTCGCGGCCGCTCCCAGATGAGAGAAGGCGCCCACAGACCCACGCTGTAGGGCATGGGAGTCATCAGGGCTTCCTGCCGGTAGGATCTGACGGACACCTGTGGTCTCCACAGACCCCTGGGCGCGGTGCAGGCGTGCAGGTGGGCACACTGAGCACCAGGGCGGTGGTGTGCAGCGGACCCCGGGGGGCGCGGAGAGTGGGGCCGGGAGCCTCCTACCTCGCCCTGCCGGCCTGCGCGCGGTCGCCGCCCCATGGATGGCGCAGAAGGATCAATAAAAGCCTGAAAAAGCCACTGCGGGCCCCAGGGCTCTCCTTTCCCTGGCCGCCTGCTTTCCTAGGGAGCCCTCCACGCCCGGGTGCTGCACACCCCTGCCTGTATGCACCCCACGCCACGAGTGCTGGGGTCTCCCTGCCTGGCTCCGGCGGGCGGGGCGAAAGGGCCAAGGCCAGGTCCAGGCTCCCGCGGCAGGGGTGGGCGGCTGCCCGGCCAGGCCGGCGGCCCAGAGGCGGCTGCGCCCTTGCGCCCCTGCCCGGAGACACAGCCGGCGCCTCCCTCCAGCTCCACGTGTGGGGACCCACGCAGGCGGCACCCAGCCTGCAGGCATGGAACCCCACCCCTTCCCACCGAGAGGCGGGGGCGGGCCCGTGTGGGGCGGGGCCATGGGAGGTGGGATGGGGAGCCCCTCCTGGGCTGCTTTGCAGACGCCCTGAAGCCATTGGAGCTTTAGGTCTGGGGGCCTCCAGACCCCAACCCCAGGTGCAAGTGGCTACAGGGGGCACCTGAACTTTCACACCACAAGAGGCGCTGCGGGGTCATGCGGACCGGGCGGCGCTCGCCTGAGCAGGGCGCGGGCTTAGAGGACCCGGCGCTGCAGAGTGCAGGGCTGCTGGGTCCAGCGCTGACTGCAGGGTCCAGACACCCACGGGAAGTAGCCAGGATGACCACACCCTTGGGCACCCTCACTGGGGTCACTCCCTAGGATCACCTGCTCCCGGGAGTCCCCTGTGGAGACTGTGGTCTCCTGCCTGGGTCTCCCGTCTAGGGCTGCAGGGCAGCGTCCAGTGCTGGGCACCGGGCAGGGCCCACAGTGACCTCTGAGGGTGTACGGGAGGGAGGCTGGCAGCTGAGGCCCGGGAGGAGAGGACTGGGCCCAGGTCTAAACCGCAGGAGCCCCCTTCAGGGTACCCCACCCTGAGGGAAATGTGCGGGCACCGCCAGTGCCTCAGGTCCGTGCGGGGCCCCCAGATGGCAAGGGGCTGGCACAGGGGTACCGCAGGCCGCAGGGGAGCAGCCCTGGGAGTGGCTCCCCAGTCCCGGCCGTGGAGGCTGTGCCGCCAACCGGCAGACAGTGCACAGGTCGCTGGCCCAGGAGGGCCAAGGTCTGGGATGGGGGGGTGCACATGTGCCTGTGTGTGGGTGAGGGGCCAGCGGGGCCTGCCTGACCCAGCCTGGGCGGGCCCCGAGGCCGGGGTCCTGACAGGCAGGCCGCGGGTGTGGGGCGCAGGGAGCCGCCCCCCAGGAGGGCCCTCCTTCCCCCCCACCCCCAGGCCGCCGCCTTCCTGCACACGGCCTGCTGCTTTCACTTTGTTCTCACTTTTACTGCTTCTGGTTTCTGCGTTTTTACATCTTAGACTGAAATTTGGCAGAAAAGTGGTTTGCCTCAGGCCTTTTCCGAGCCAAGACCCTGGCAGCTGGCGGGTGGCCGCCTGGGAGGAGAGGCTGCGCAAGGCCTCTGCAGCCAGCCTGGAATTCCACGGTCCCCGCGTGGCTGCACGTCAAGGCAGTGGCTGGGCGTCCGGTGAGCAGGGCCAGCGTGCTGACACCTCCCGCGCGGGTGTCCAGCCTGGCCCCCGGCCCAGCCACCCTCTGGAGATGGCCAGTGAGCACGTCTGAAGGAAGAAACCCTGGCCTCTGCCCCGGGGCTGAGGGGTAGAACCCACCCTCTGTGGCCAGCACGGCCTTCAGAGCCTCCCCCAGCTCCTGCCTCAGTGGCGCCACTGGGGGCCGCACCCCAGGCTGGGCAGCAAGCCGGGAGCCCGGAGCATTTCCAGATGTCCCAGAAAGCGCCTTCTGCACAGGGGAGGCTGCTGGGCTCTCGGGTGGACACCTGTCACTGGCCTGCAGGCCCTCCGTGGGCAGGGGCTGCGCAGGGACAAGGTAGCAGACACCCCGCCTCTGCCCCCCAGGGACACAGACCCACCCCAGACTCTGCATGACTCTCTGGAGGCTGGTGCCTCCCTGCAGTGGGGGGAATTCCCTGCCTGTCCACCTGCCCCCACCCTGCCCGGCCCGTGATCTGCCCCCCGCCGGCTCTGGAGATGGCCCCCTGGCTCCGGGAGTGGGGGCTAGGGAGCACGGCCTCCCCAGTGGGGCCACCCTCAGCACAGAGGGCCTGAAGCCCGGCCACCCAGCCTCATCCCCGCTCCCGGGTCAGGCCAACGGAGGGCTCAGAACCGCGGTCAGCCCTGCCTCTGCTGGGTAGGACAGCCGGTCCCAACTGGGGAGGCCTCGCCAGGAAGTGGATCCGTTTGCAGTTTCTTGAAACCTCAGAGCCGGCTTTCGAATGGGCTGTTTTTCTAGTGGAGACTGTAACGTGAGCCCAGAGGGTTCCCGCACGGAGACGCCCAGCGCCCCTCCAGGCCAGCCCCTGCCGCCCACAGCTGGTCCTGCCGCAGCTGCCTCCCCCACGCTGCAGCCGCGTGTACCCCATGTGGCCAGCCCCCACCAGACCGCTGGTCCCTCTGCGTCTGCGGCCAACTGGGTCGCGGGGCTGCCTGACGCGGCTCACCCCCCAGGCCCAAGGCATGCACCGGTAGGCGGTGGGCAGCCAGCCACTCTCGGGTGCAGCGGCTGCGACGCCTCTCCCCCAGGGTGGCTCCTGGGCTGCGTGTCCACGCTGCCCGCCTGCCTGCCCGCCTGCCCACCCGCCCGGACGCAGCTCTGAGTGCCCAGCAGGGTGTGGGAGGCACTCAAGGCCCAGCAGGGCCTTGGAGCTGCAGCTGCTCCAGCAAACTCTGGAAGTTTCCCGGGGCAGCGCCCGGGTCACTGCCAGCTTCACTTAGGGGCCGGGGTCCACACTGGGGCAGAGGCCTGCCTTGGGGATTTGGGGTGCTGCCACCCCAGGAGGCCCCGCTGGGGTGGGGGACGTGCATGGAGACCCTGCCTAGGTGGGGGCACCTCTGGGCCCACCCTGGGGCTCCCTCGGCCACGGGGAGGCTGCTGGGGAGTCCAGTGGACCTGCGGCGGGGCCTCATCCAGCTCACGGTGCGCAGAGCAGTGGCCTCAGGTAGGGATGCAGACATAGGGGCTTTGGCCCTTCCAGGCACCCCTCACTGAAGGGGAGCGGTGTGGGGGACCCCTCGGGACCAACTGGCAGCCTCAGGGCTCTGGCAGGCCAGGTCTGGGCCGTAGGCACCAGGGGCGCCGGGCTCCGATCCCCCACCTGCACCGACACCCCAAGCCTACCGCCATGACCTGGCACAGGGGCCCCTAGAGGGGCCGTGGCACGGGGATCGGCGTCTGCCACGTATGGTGAGGGCCAGGCCGGCTGTGGCTGGGACATGTCGTGTTGGTCACAGGGGTCGCTGGGGGCCCCCTTTGGCCCCCGGCCCCAGGGCCAGAGGAGGCACAGGCCCCGGCGTGTGGGCAGGGCCTGCCCAGCGGGCCCCTGCTGGGCCCCAAAGGTGGGGGGAGGTGGCCTGTCCTGGACGCAGCCAGGACACGGGCCAGCGCCCCTCCCTGCGGCGCCCCAGTTCTCCTGCCGGCACCACCGTGGCGTCTGCGGCCCTGGTGGGGCTGGCAGCAGGGGGGCTGCTGGCTGGCTTCCCCGCGTTTCCTCTTGGCCCACAGGCTCTGGCGGCCACGAGAACAAAGGCTGGATTGTGCCTGTCCTGGGCCAGCTCCCTGGCCTGGCCGCTGCCCCTGCTGGGCCCCGAGGGCGCCGTGATGCTTGCAGCCAGCAGGCCCCCAACCTGTGAGGGCTGGGCTGCCGGCGCCCGGCCCCCAGCCCCCATGACCCCATGGGGCCAGGGGCAGAGCCGCCCCCTCCCCACCTGTCCAGCCAACCGTGGCCCTGGGGACACCACGGTACGCCCTGTGCCACCCAGTGGGTGCCCGGCAGCTGTCCCTGGCCAGGACCCGCCCTGGTATTTGGAGGCCTGTGCTCCGTGTTGGATTGGGGCTGACAGGGCTCCTTCAGCCAGGTGGGGGTGCCCCACAAGTCCACTGTGAGCTGTGATGCCCCCTGAGCCGCAAACGCCCGCAGGCCCAGGCTGCAGACCTGGGAATGTCAAAGGGCCTTGGCCCTGGAGGGCCACGCAGTGCAGGAGACTTGGGGGGAATCCAGGAGCAGGACAGCTTCCGGGAGAAGGTGGAAACAGGAGAGTGGTGCACGGGGAAGGGGTTTGCCACTGTGGGGCCAGTGCCCTCTGCCAGCCCGCCCCGCCCGCCCCCGCCAGGCCGCCTCCCCACGCAGCAGAGCAGTGGCTGAGGGCCGGCGGGTGCTCCCGCGGCCTGGGGTCTCTCACGGGAGGGGCTCCGGGGCCCGAGGACTCGGCCTGTTCGTCGGCCACGAGGGTGGCTGTTGTCCTGGCTCCCTGCGCCTGGGCCAGGGCCAGGAGTGTGAGATGGTGAACCCCACATCAGAGGTCAGTCGAGGGACCCAGGCAGGCTGAAGTTACCCAGGAAGATCAGGGCCGGGGTGGGGGTGACCGGCTGTCCCGCCCTCCCCATCAGCTTAAGGACACCCCCCACTCAACCCTCCCATCAGGATAGCAAAGGCCCCGGCCCACTGCCCACCATCCTGGCTCAGCCGCCCTGCCGTCCTGCCCTCCCTGCTGGGGGGGCTTCTGGGGTCCACCCAGCCAGGCCGAGACAACCCAGACTGCCCCTCCCCCTGCCGCGTCTCTCTAGGGCCGGGTGTCTCAGGGCAGGAGAGCACGGCCTCCGGACTCCCCACATCCCCCTCCGACTGCCTTGAGGGCCCAGCACAGCCCCGGCCCCCCAGGACTCAGGCTAAGGCCGGCGCCCGCCCCTCCGGCCAGCTGTTGGCAGCTGTCACCACCTGCCGGCCCAGGGCCAGATGCCCGGCGGCTGTCACAGGGAGCGGGGTGGCCTGCAGCTGCTGCAGACGTGGGGCCTGGGCCTCACAGCCCATAAAGGGGTGCAGCCGACCCTGCGTGCCCCCACCTGCCCCAAGACAGGACTGTCTCGCTTCTGCCCGGGGCCATGAGGGATGGACTCTTGGCCCCAGTCTGACCTGGTGTTGCTCCCTCCTCAGGAGGCTGGTCTGGCATGGTGACGCCTCGAGGCTCGGGCTGGCTCCCCAGGATGCAGGTGGCACCGCGCTGGCCAGGCTGAGGTGGCGCTCGGGCACCCTCAATTGGTGATGCCTTCACTGCAGCATCTGGGAAGCCTCTGCCCTCGGCCGGCCCAGCCTGCTGCCCGTGACACTGCCACCGGCGTGGCCGGAGAGGCTGCAGGGCCAGCCAGGCTTCCCTTCTCGGTACCATGGGGGCTCCTGGACCCAGCAGGAACTTGGGATCTCCACGGGGGATGCCCCTGCCCCAGGTGCCCAGGCCCGGGCCTCTCAAGACCGTGGCCTGTGATCCCAGCCTTGGCCCTCATCTGTCGGGGGTGAGGGGCCCTTCGCCAAGATGGCACCAGCTGCTGGTCCCTGGGCCCAGGAGCCTCCTGCGGGCCTTGAACCCGGAGAGGCCCTGCCTCCCTCATGCCACAGAGGCAGGCAGGGACCCACAGTCACTCGTGGTCCTGGGCAGAACGGGCAGGGAAGGGCTGGCTATCCCTGGCCTCTGCAGGCCTCTGTGAGCTTCTGCAGACCAGCCCCCGACACCCACCTGGACCCCATGGATCCCAGGCTGGCCACCTTGGCCGCTCTGCTGTGGGCCCTCTGGGGACAGGAGTACCCCCTTGGCCAGTGCAGGATGGCCAGCAGCCCCCACCAGGGCCCAGCCACCAGGCAGGACAGCACCCTCATCGGAGTCCCTTTCCTCAGACTATCCTGTCAGCCCCCAAGATGCACCTGGTCACCCAGGAGCACAGGGCCAGGGCAGCCCTCCCCCCCGGAGGGCGCCTGGCGAGGAGGTCAGCTCGGGGCGCAGAGGGTGCCCTGACCCAGGGCCCGCCACGTGGGCCTGCTGGCTCTGGGGGGGGCCTGAGCACCCCACCTACCAGCATGTGAGGCTCCACAGAGCTCCGTGGAGCACCCGGGACCCTGCATGCCCAGGAGCTTCTCACACCAGATGCTGGGGCAGGGGTCGGGGTGAGGGGTCCGCTCCCAGCCCAGCCCACCCCACACAGGCCTGGCTGTGGGAGCCCCGTCTCCGGCCCCTGGCCCGCACTCTCCAGGTCACCGGCCTCGCTGCGTGGAGTCCAGAGAGCCCTGGGCCTGGGCAAGGTCAGTGAGGGGCTCACTTTCCCCTGCCCACCCACCTGGCCGCCCAGTGGCCCAGGGAAGCCAGGCAGCCCCTGCCCCACACCCCAGCCGCGTCTGCGCCATGTGGGCGTCCCCACTCTGTGTCCTGCCCTCCTGTCCATGTCCTGTCCCCTGTCCTGTGTCCCACAGCCCGCATTCCTGTCCCAAGGCCCTGGAACTGGCCTGTCCCTGTCCTGGTCTCGGGACAAGGCTCTGATCTCCTGCCAGGCTCGCCCAACCCATGGCCCCACGCCCCCCTCACCCTCGGCCTCTTGTTGAACCGCCCTGTCCCTGGGCATCAGCTCAGGCCCCCCTCCTGAGACAGCTGCTGGACGGCTGGCGGACACCCCTTTGAAGCCAGGAGGGCTGGGGGAGGGGTGGAGTCACACCCCAGGGTGTCAGAGCCTGGGCTGCCCTTTCAAGTTGCCGAGCTTCAAGAGACCGGCTTATCAGCACCCAGGACCGGGTCAGGGACGACGGCAGCCTGGCTCAGCACCCCGACCCCTCCCTGCCTCCACCCCCAAAGACAGGGCCGTGTCCTGCAGAGACGAGCCATCAGGAGTCGGGCCAGCCCGGCCTGGCCAGGGGTGACTCAGGACACACCTAGGGACCTCTCTGCTCGCCCCAGGCTGGACCCCCAGGGCAGCGCCGGGCCCCACTCCGTCGCCCAGAGACCCGCCAGCGCCGTGGACAAGGGGCATTTGTGTTCCTGCTGGTGGTCCCCGGCACTGGCTGGGCCCCCGGGGCTTGGGCTTCCCGATGGGAAGGGGCGCCCAGGCTGGGGCGCGGGGGAGCCCGGACACTGCCCCGCCAAGACCGGTTGCCCCTGCCCTGTGGCACGAGCCCCCTACCCCGGTGCGGCTCCTCCCCGCCCCCCCAGCCCCCTCATCCCGGTGCCCGTGTGCTCCCTGCGGCCCGTCCACGCCCTGGCCTCGGCCCCGCCCCCACTGCTCCCGGTCCTGGTTGCGGGAGTCCCCGAGGTTAGGGTTAGGGTTAGGGTTAGAGTTAGGGTTACGAGGCTCCTGCGGCAACTGGTACAGGGTCAGGTGGGGGTGCAGGTGTGGCGGTCAGACACCCCGCCACTGCCCAGCAGTGTCCCCACCACTGAGCTCTCTGCTGACCCCTGTGTGTGAGGTGCAGGAAAAGAAGATTCCACCCTGGCAGTGCTGGGCAAGAGGTCCGTCCCTCCCGGGGGGCCGTCAGTGAGGGCGTGCAGCGGCCTGGGGGGACAGAGTCGCAGTGAAGGGGCGCCCAGCCCGAAATCTCTCAGGGGCCACTGCAGCCTGTCTAGGGACAGCAGAGGGGGCAGCTGTGGACCGGGGCCCAGGGAAGGGGTCCGTGAGCTACAGGGCCCAAAGGCAGAGGACCCCTCCGGGCGGAGCCGACACCCCATGCTGACCTCCCCGAGCAGGGCAATGAAGATGGGCTTGGCCGTGGGCGCTGCTCCTGGCCATGGCGTGGGCGTGGAGCATGGCCTGAAGGTGCGGGTGGCCCAGGAGGACTGGCGACTCTGACTGGTCTCCACGGTCCCTTCCCTGCTCAGCCCAGCACCCAGCATGTCCACAGAGTGACCGGCTCCCTGGAGGTGGTCCCTCACCCTGCCTGCCGGGTCTGTCTGGCCACGAGAGGGTGGCCTCAAGGCAAGCAAGTCTTTAGTTCTCAGATGTTCTTGGGGCAGACGGACACAAAACCAGCAGGGCACACGGGGAGGTGGGGGGGCTAGGGTCCCCGCCCCCGGAGAGGGCAGGGAGCAGAACTGGCTGGGCATTACCTGAGCCAAGAGGTGGAAGACGTGCACACCGGAGACCGGCCCGTCGGGCCACGTAGACCCCCGGACACGGGCAGACACTGCTTGCTGGCCGGCGGCCCGGCCTTGGCTGGGGACCCTCCTGCCTGGAGCAGCCCAGTCGGGGCAGCCTGTCCAGTCCAGTGTATTTTCCAAGGAAATACAACAAAAAATACCAAAATGTATGCAGAGCCATGAGAGGCCCGAAAACGCTGGGCAACTCTGAAAGGAGGCTGGAGCGGGGGCGCGGGCAGCTCCGGCCAAGCAGCGCGACTGCGGGGACACCCGCGGGGGTTGGAGGCGCGGACCTGGGAGTCGGAGATAAGCGCTCTCAGCATGGCCGACTCCAGCAGCAGCCGGGCCAGGCTGCCGGGGGGCGCGCCTTCCAGCAAGGGCTGTGTGCCGGGGGCGCGTGTGGGCTGGGGCGCTCGCTTCAGGTGGCTCAAGGAGACCAAGGCCCGAGGGTCAGGGCCCAAGTGGCAGGCCCAGGGCCAGGCGGTGCCAGGGGAGTCCCTGGGGATGGCCCGAAGGAGCTGGGGCCTCGCCCTCAAGGCAAAGGCTGCGCTGGGCGAGTGGACCTGTGGGCCGGCGTGGCTGGTATGCCTGGTGGGTGCTGGGCTGGCGTAAAGGGCGCACCCAAGGCGGCCGATGGAGACGTGCAATCTGGGTGCCGCTGCCGCCACAGGCACGCGGGCCCTGGGCCTCGTGGGCAGAGTGCGCTGAGGCCGCCGGAGGGTGCAGAGGAAGCGGCGCCCTGCAGGCAGCCACTCCCGAGACAGACCTGACTTACTGGGAAAGCATGCGTCCGGCCAGAGAGCGTCACCCCGCGCCAGGCAGCAAGGCAGGCCGCACACAGCCAGTCAGGAAGACGGGCCCGCCCTGGGAGCCTACGCAGCTTGGGATGTCAGGAGACCAAGCAGGTCTACGGACAAAGCATGGAAATTAAGGGAGACAGTGACTACAGATGGGCTGCGCAGACCAAGAGGGCAGAGGCGCGGGCAAGGGCCTAACAGCTGGTGGTGGGGATTTGGCTGCTTATGTTTTTTCAGAAATATAGACAGCCGAGCTCCTGGCAAGATGGCCCTAGAGGCCACAGGTCAGCTGTGACTGGGACGACAGAACGACTTCCAGGGACAAGCTGGGCACCAGCAGTGATGGGTAGGGCCCTGGACCCCAGCAAGTCTCCCCGGGCTCTGGGAACACAGAGCCCAGATGCCAGTCGCTTTGCTGAAACCCTCCAAGACACTGCAGAGCCCTCCAGCGATGGCTCCAGAGCCTTGGGAGGGCAGGCAGCCCAGAGGGATGGGGATCGGCAATACCCAGGTGGAGGCAGCAGGGAGCCCTGGCCCCCAGGTCAGCACTGCCCACCGAGACCACACTGGGAGGTGGGCAGGGGAAGCACATGGCCCTTCTCAGGGGACCTTGCCCAGGGGCACTGGGCAGGGCATGCTGGTGTGGGATAGCCAGGAGGCCCCCGCAGGTAAGGCAGCTCCCAACTTGGGCACCCTGCTCTGTCCAGGGTGCTAATGAGCCTGCTCTGCACCCCAATCTGGACCCCAGCCCTGGCAGCAGGTGCGTTCACACACAGCTGCATACATAGTGCACACACACAGCCACGCACACAGCTGCAAAGACACACACAGAAACACTGGCTTAGAGGAAAAAGATGCACATTTTCTTGTTTAACAAAATAAATTAAATATACGAAGCTTCAGCTCAAACTCTATATAAAATACAGAGATCTGGGCCCTGGGTCAGTGGCCCTAAGGTGGACATTCAGTGTGGCCACCAGGCCAGGCGTGTCCCGGGCTCCGGGCTCGGCCAGGGCTCTATGGCCCAGCCCCCCTCTCATCATTATTAATATTATTATCTTAATTTCTTAAATATAAATACCAACGACCCTCCTCTCTGGCAGCAGAGGCCGGGGCTGGGCCCTAGATGCAGGCCAGGGCCTGGAGCTGCCACCTGACCCCGGGCCTGGTGGGCAAGAATAGCCAGCGGCCTGCAAGGCTTGGACAGCACACATGCGCGGGCAGGGGGTGTTGGTTTGCCGAGCCAGACGCCCCCCCAGGCTCCTACCGGGCAGTGGGGGAGACAGCAGCCCCTCGAAATCCTTCTCTGGGGCCACCAGACCCGTCACAAAGCAGCCACCATGACATGCCAACTGCAGAGTCACCAGCCCGGTCCTTCCACACGCGTCCACCATATGTCCTGGCAGGAAGGGTCAGCCACAGCACTCGCGTCTGTGTCCCTGCTGTGCGTCCGTCTGTGCTATGTGCATGCCCACGTGTCTGCCTGAGCTGGTGTGTGACTGTGTCTGTGTCCGTGTGTGTCCATGTCTGTGTGTGGCCGTGTCTGTGTGTGGCCGCATCTGTGTGTCCATGTCTGTGTGTCTGCGCCTGTATGTGGCCGCATCTATGTGTGGCCACGTCTATGTGTCCATGTCTGTGTGTCCGCATCTGTGTGTGTCCATGTCTGTGTGTGGCCGCGTCTGTGTGTGGCCGTGTCTGGTGTGGCTGCATCTGTGTGTCCACCGCGGGGGCTGTGCACATGGTGTACGGCTGTGCACACGCATCCATCACACACCCACACCTGTGTGAGTCTGGGGGTGTGTCCAGGCCTGTGTGTGTGCTTCACACAAGGCATGGGGCACTGCCGCACCTCTGGCCTGTGCCCGCTGCCCCGTGTGTGGCCGCTGTGCGTGGCCCCTAGCACTGGAAGTGGATGTGCTGCTGCGCGTGGGCCTTGCCCTCCACGTGCGCGTGCGTGTGTGTGTGTGAGTGCGTGTGCGTGTGCACGTCCGTGTATAGTTTGGGGTACAGCTTGGGGCCAGCCGCCAGGCAGGGGCCCAGCAGGTGCAAGGGGGCCGCCGGGGCCAGCAGCTCCTCACACAGCCCCGTGCCAGAGGCAGCGCCCGGGGCTGGCAGCGCCAGTGGGTCCTTGTCGGCGCCGCGGGCTGGGGCGGGCCCGGGCGGGCGGTGGGCGGGCCCAGGGGTGGCAGGCGCAGGTGCACACGGCTTCTTCTTGGCCTGGCAGAGCCACAGCAGCACGGTGCCCAGGATGAAGACCGCGCCGGCCGGGATGCCGATGACCACGGGCCACGGCAGGCTGGGGGCGGACGATGAGGGGGCCAGGGGTGGCCCTGGCGGCTTTGGATCTGCAGGAGAGACCAGAGAAGGGGTGGGCCCAGGGCGTGACCTGCGGTGGCCAGCCAGGGCCGCCTCCAGCGTCGCCGGCCACACACCTGGCAGCACTGTGAGGAAGGCGCTGCGGAAGCTGTAGCCCATGGTGTTGGCCCCCAGGCAGATGTACATGCCCGCGTCGTCCTGGCGGGCTCGCGCGATCAGCAGCTTGTTGAGGTAGGAGCCGTCCGGCCGTGACCATACGTCCCCGGTGGGCAGCACCACGAACTTCTGGCCGCCCACGTCGATGGTGGAGTTGTAGCGGCCCTCGGCCCCGTACTCCACCCGCTTCAGCCACTGGATCACCGGCTTCACGTCGCTGCGCACCTTGCACTGGAAGGACGTGGTGCCGCCAAAGTCCACGGTGGTGTTCACGGGGTGCGTGCCGGTGAGCACCGGCTTGGAGCGTGTCCGCTCTGCAGGGACGAGCGTGTGGGCGGGGCCAGCTGCCGGCCCCGCCCACCCGACAGCCCCGCCCCGCGTGCGCTGGCCCCGCCCCACCAGCCCCACCCATGCGCACTGGCCCCGCCCCGCCAGCCCCACCCCATGAGCACTGACCCCGCCCCACCAGCCCCACCCCATGAGCACTGACCCCGCCCCACCCCACCAGCCCCACCCCATGCGCACTGGCCCCGCCCCACCAGCCCCGCCCCCACATACACTGCCCCCGCCCCACCCCGACAGCTCCGCCCCGTGTGCACTGGCCCCGCCCCACCAGCCCCGCCCCCATGTGCACTGGCCCCGCCCCACCAGCCCCACCCCATGTGCACTGACCCCGCCCCACCCCACCAGCCCCACCCCATGCGCACTGGCCCCGCCCCACCCCACCAGCCCCACCCCATGCGCACTGGCCCCGCCCCACTAGCCCCGCCCCCACGTACACTGCCCCCGCCCCACCCCGACAGCTCCGCCCCGTGTGCACTGGCCCCGCCCCACCAGCCCCGCCCCCATGTGCACTGGCCCCGCCCCACCCCGCCAGCCCCGCCCCCACCTGCCCCAGGCCCTTGTCCAGCACTCACGGATCACGTCCACCTTGTAGGTGGCGTTGATGGCACCTGCCCGGTTCGACACGCGACAGGTGTACTTGCCACTGTCCTCCGGGCGCAGGTTCTTCAGGCTCAGCGTCCACTTCTTCCTGTGCTCACCAGCTTCCGGACGTGTCAAGGCCTGGTCATCCTTCATCCACATGATGTCCGGCCGAGGGTGCCCGCTGGCCACGCACTTGAGTCTCACAGAACTGCCCACCGGCCGCGCGATCACCCGGCGCCTCATCTTGGAGGGTTGCGTGAAGCGGGGCCGTGCTGCGGCGGGGAGGCAGGGTCAGTGGGGCTCAGGAGGGCTGCCCCCACCTGACCGCGGGGGAGACCCAGCCCCACGCTCACCCCACTGCTCGCTGGCTGGATCCTCAGGGCCCCCGGAGGAGCCGTCCTGCCCCGGGCTCTCCCTTCCAGGATTGATGTCGTCTGCGGAAGGGGGGGCACTTGAGATGGGCTTGCAGCCCTCTCCAGGCCCAGCCCGGCCCCTGCCCCAGCCCCACCCAGCCCAGCTGGTTCCCAGGCCCAGCTGAGAAAACTCTAGAACATACAGGCGGGGGGTGGGGGGTAGCACCGCCTCAGACCCCAGAGACAGCTGGGGCTGCCCGCCGGCCCTCGCCCTGGGCGCAGGTGACCGGACAGGCCTGTGAGGGACCGCGGGGCTGGCCCCACCTGGCTCCAGGGGTCTGCGGCCCGGGAGGGGGGCCGGCCGGCAGCTGCGGTAACCCTAACCCGCATCAAGGGGCCGAGGGCCTGGCGAGGACGCCTGGCTCACATTCCGTGCTCGTCCGCCCTGGAGGACGTGGGGACCCCACTGGCCTCCCATCCCCACCCCAAAGGCCTGGGGCTGAGCGGGTAGTCCCGGGGTGGGGCACGAAATGGCCCTGCCCGCCACGGCCCCGCCCCCAGCCCAGGACTGCCGACCCGGAGAGGGGCCTCCAGACTCCCGCCTGCAAGAGGTGGGCCAGCCTGGCCGCAGGCCCCCAGCTGGGCCCCCAATCCATGGCCGCTGCTCAGCCCCCACCGGCGCCGCCCGTCTCAGAGACCACCCTCCCCAGCCCCGAGGGACCCACATCTGAGTGCGACACCAGTGCCCCACCCTGGGCCCCCGAGCCACTGGGTGTGGGGCGCCACTGCCTGGGGCCAAGAGGAGGGGTGTCACTGGGAACCCCGCTGCTGCCCAAGCTGGGCCTCAGAAGCAGAAGAGAACAGAAGGCCCCTCGCTCCCGGTCCCTCTGGACTCTGAAACCTGAGCCTCAAAGTCAGGGCGACACCCAGCCCTGCCGCCCGCCCTTGCCCTTCAGCGAGCCCCTGCCCGCATCCCCACCCGCCCCCGCCAGTCCTGGCCCCATCACAGAGCCGCAGGAGCAGGGCCTGCGGGCAGGGGCGGCCACCGGGCGCAGGCGGGGGCGGGGCTGTGCAGGGAGGCCCTCCCGCCCGCCCGCCAGGGTCCGGCCCCCGTGCCCGCGGCCTCACTGACCCATGACGACCAGGGTGTAGTTGACGCTGAGGCTGCCGAAGCCGTTGGTGGCCTTGCACACGTAGGCGCCCGCGTCCTCCCGCTCCACCTCCTTCACCTTCAGCCCCTGCGGCTGCACGCGGAAGCGGCTCCAGCCGCCGTGGATGGTGCGGCCGTCCTTGGTCCACATGGTCAGCGGCGGCGGGTCCCCCTCCACTGGGCACTGCAGCCGCACGGTGCGGCCCAGCCGGGCCACCTGCCGTGGGCTCACCTTGTCTGCCATCCTTGGGGGACCTGGGGGAGACGCCGCATCAGGGCAGCGGCCGGACACCCGCTGGGCCCACGCAGGAGCAGACGCGAGCCCTGGCCAGCAGAGGCCCCGTGCCCTGAGCAGTGCCGGCCGGCGCAGAGGGCTGGGGAGGGCCTGTGTCCCGCCATGCAGCCCCAGGCGTCCGAAGCGGAAGGCCACAACCCTGAGGCACTGCCGTCAGAGGTAGCTGAGCCCGGCAGGTCCCGGCACAGGGCTCCTGTCCAGCCAGAGGCCTGCTGCCCACTGCCCAGGCCCAAGTCTGGGGGCGCATGCGGGGGTGAGGCACGACCAGGCCTGGGGGCACCAGGGTGGGGAGTGAAAGGCAGCAGGGAAGGGCCCACAGGCGTCAGAGGGGAGCGGCCTCAGGACCTCGGCCCCGCCCTGCTGTGGCTGGAGCCCGGGTGGTGGCCCGTCAGGGCCGCAAGGTGACCGGCAGGGATGTGGGGCAAGGCCGGGGGCTGGGCGGACCCAGCTCCCAGGGCCCCTCGGCTGGTTGCGGGAGGCACTGCCCACATGGCCCCGGGGCCAGCCTACACCTACCCGCTGGCCAGCGTAGCATTCACCTGGCCAGCTCCTCGCTCTTGAGCTGCAGCTTCCCTCCCACCCGCTGCGTGGGCACCGGAGGACACACCCCGCGCTGCTCCTGGGGCCCTGGCCTGCTCTGGACACCAGCTGAGGCACTGGGCGGGGGGAGGGGCCTGCCCTCTCCAAGCCCCGGGGTGTGAGCCCACCCCAGGCTGTCAGGGCCCCTCCTGTTTTCTGCTCTGACAGCCCCCGCCTCTGGGTCATCTGCCCGTAGCTGTCCCCCTCCTGGAGGGCAGCAGCTGAGGACGGCCCACCTCCCCCGGTCACTTCGCCATCAGCAGGGCCCTGAGGGTGCCCAGCTGCACGGTGACCGGGCTGCTGAGCACTGCTCAGGGAGGGCCCCCAGGCCTGGACCCACTGCCCCAGTAGGCAAGACCATGCCCAGCTGACCCACGCCTCCCGCACATGCACCCGCTCCCGATGCACAAGTGTACACGCAGACGTCTGCAGCAGGGCAGGAGCAAGCTCCCCGGCCTCCCAGAGCTGCCTGGACAGGCCCCCAGGCCCTGTCCCCACCCAGGCAGAGCGCTAGGGAGAGTGGCCACCAGGGGCTGGATGCAGACCCTGGGGCGGGACGCCCACCTCGGTCCCTGCAGAGGAGGAACAGGGCCTAGAGACAGCCAGATGGCCGGAAGCCTGGCCAAGGGTCGCCTGTGAGCAGCGTGGGGGCCAGGCAGGCGGCTGGGCCGACTGGAGCCAGCCTTATCCAAAAGCAAACAGCCCCCGCCCCCAGCGGCCGGCCCTGCCCCCACCTGGCTCTACGGACCCAACGGTGACCCGGCAGGTCCCTGCCCTCTGCAGAGACCCAGCAGGCCACCAGCAGGAGGCCCGGGCCCCGGACCTGGAGGCTTTGGCGGCTGGGGAGACAGTCACGCATTGCGCTCGGCCTGGGGAACCCAGCCCCACGTCCACCCTGGACAGGAGTGCTCCCACTCAGCCCGGAACCCGAGGCAGGCGCGGGCCAGGGTGACAGAGGGAGGGCTGACTGCAGAGCGCCTGGCCCACCCCAGTCCCCCCCAGGAGGCCCCAGCCCCCACACTCCCGTCACAGCCAGGAGGAGTGCTTGACCGCAAGGACGCTGTGGTGAAGGGCATGGGGCATGGGCCTGGGGTGCTGGGCGCCCGGTGGTGGGCCAGGGGAATCACCCCCTTCTCCCCACCCCCTGCAAGAGGGTGGCCGGGAGGCCCCAGGGGGCTGCCTGAGGCCACACTCCCACCTCCACCTGGAGGGCCCACCCAGTCCCGGCCGGCCCCACCAGCCCAGAGGGGTCCTTGAGCAGGCGGCAGACCACACCGGGCGGCTGGGGCCTGCCAGAGGGTGGCGGAGGGGCCAGCTGGCACACCTGGGGAGGGAGCCTGTGTGTCCCCTGGGCCCCAGCAGGGGTTGTGCCGGGAAGACCAGAGGGGACAGAGGCTGGGGAAGAGGAGAGGCTCCTGGGGGGCACAGAGTACCCCTCAGCCTGCTGTGGGTGGCCCCTCACACATGTGCCTGGTGCCGGCTCCTGGTCACCAGCTGGCCGGGTGGCCCCGTGGATCCTGGAGGAACTGGTAGGACCCGCAGGGCGAGTGGTTGCCCCAGAAACCAGGCCACTCTGGGCACAGCAAAGAGACAGGCTGACCCACCACACAAGCCGGCCCCAGCGTCCAACCCACCCCCTGCCCAGCAGCTGCTGCCCCCTCACCAGCGGAGCCTTCAGCAGGGGGCCTCGTAGACCGGTCCAGTCCCTCCTGGCCTGGCCCAGACACATGGGCATCAGGCAGCGCCAGGCCCGCCACATGGACACACCAGGGGCTTGGATCCCGCCACACCCCTGGGTTCCAAGCTGACCAGTCCCCCAATTGCCCACCCCCGCCCCACCCCCACCCCACCCGCCAAAGCCTGGGTCCTCTGAATGGCCTCCCCAGGGGGTCCAGCCCACCCACCCCAGCTGAGAGGGTTGTGTCCACCGTGGCCCTGCTGCCCGCCAGCACTGGGCCCTGACCACCGAGAGCCTGGCTCCTTGGCCCCGCTCTGGGCACCACCGAGGGCATGTGGTCAGGACGCATTGGGGCGGGAACAATGGGCAGGAGGCCAGATGTCAGGACAGGCAGACACCCAGGCCAGGTGTCCATGTCCCCGCCGGCCACCACCTAGCCACGCCCCTGGGGCGGGGCCACAGCGGGAAGCCACGCCCACGCTGGGGGCCCGGAGGCCAGCGTGTGGCGTGAGGGGCGCAGGACCCCTTCCAGCAGCCATTCAGTGGGGGCAGGGGCTGGCCGAGGCCCCAGGACCCCAGGGGGCTCCCCTCCCTTTCCTCCTCCCCCCAGCCCGAGCAGCTTCCTGGCCAGCCCGGCCCCAACTCAGGCTCAGCCCCAGCCCAGCCCCGTGAGCCCCATGGTGACCCCACTCCACCTCCCTGGCTCTGGCACCGTGGACTCCCGGCCGCTGCCCCAGGGAAGTGGCCAGGACACGGCCCGGCCCTCCTGGGGCCTGAGCACAGCCGGCCGGCCCCGCCTCGCCAGGAACGCCGTGACCCTGGGCAGAGTTGTGCGGCTGCAGGCGCAGCACCGGGAGGGCGGGCCGGGCGGGCCGGGCGGGGCGGTGGTCTGGCTGGGGCCCTGTGCCCGGGGCCGCCCTGGTGGTGGAGTGTGGGGCGCAGGACAGTCAGGAGGGCCAGCACGAGCAGGGGCGCCTCCAGAGGGGTGGCCCCAGGACGGGAGGCTGGCGGAGGCAGGGCCCGGTGAGCCGGAGGCGCTGCTGGGGAAAAACCAACATTTCCCCTTGGAGGGTGGGGAGCGCAGCGGCTGGCGGGGCTGGAAGGCGGCTCTGAGAGGCCCATTGATGGGGCACAATGGCCGCGGAGCCCGTGGGTTTCCAGGCCCAGCCAAAGGCGACTTTGTTCGCAGTCCCCTCCCCCCGGACAGTGATTTATTTTCGCTTCCAGGAGCAGCCCCAGACATCAATGGGGCGCTGGCCCGCATCCCCACCTCCAGCGCCCGCCAGCTAGCAGGCCGAGCACTGGCCAGCCACTGCCCAGAGGGCCCTGGGGTGGCCTGCGGCCCAGTGGACGGCGCACACTGGGCCAGGGCCACCCACCCACCCCACCCCCACCGGCTTGCACAGCCTGAGCACCGGCCCTGGCGCCTAGCCCTGGGCAGTGCTCGCTCAGCTCCACCGGACACACCGCAGCCCAGCACACGGACAGGGTGACCTCGGGCTGGCTCCGCGAGCCCGGCCACCACCACCCCGGAGCCTGCAAGCGCGGCCTCCTCAGAACCGCCCGGCAAGCTGGTTTGCGAAGGGCCCGCCCCCCACCCCGGCATCCACAGCAAGGACCAAGCGCAAGTGGGGAGCTAGGGGGAAGCTGGTGTCATGAGTGTGGGGTGAGACGGGGGCTTGCACCGGTCACACTGAGAGCAGCCCCAGCCCCGGCCAGCCAGGCCCGCTTCCGTCCACCCCGGGCAAGAAGCATCCAGGCAACTTCCAAGTCCAGGCTGGGAAAGCCATGGAGAACCTTGCCCCGGGCGGTGGTGCCGGCTCTCTCCTGCTGCCAGCCCTGCCGGACACCAGGCAGGGCCCAGGCATGCCGGGGAAATGTGGGGTCCCCAGTGCCAGGCCGGCCAGCGCACCGCCACCGTCCACAGCCCGGCGCAACCTCCCCTCGGCCACAGCTCCCGCCTCATCAGGCCAGAGGCCACCTCCAACCTCTCCCACCAGGGTGGCGGGCCGGCAGGTGCAGCAGGATGGGGGGGGTGGTCCGAGCAGATAAAAGGGGGATCAAAGCCCTGGGGCTTACGGGGCTGGCACAAGCGCCCGCAGCTGGCACAAGCACCCGGCCGGGCCACACCGGGCAGCCCCCAGCCTTGGGCCGGGCGGCCAGTCCTGGCAGGGCAGAGGGGGTGCCGGGCATGAGGCCCACCTGGGCCACCGCCCGCCACCAACACCCGAATGTGGCCATATAAGGCCAGGATGGACTCGTGCGCCCGCCGCGGGCGGGGGAGGGCGAAGCCTCAGAGGACTGGTGGACAGGGTGAGGGACACACCCAAAGGGCTGGCCTGGTCACGGGCCGCCTCGCTGAGGAGGCCAGACGGGGCACGTGGGCAGGGGACGGACGGGGCTCGCATCACCCGCCTCCGCCAGCCTCTGCCGCCGCCGCTCCCTGGGCTGGGCTGCCCAGCCCACAGGAGGCCCCAGACCTGCCCACCTGGATGGGGTGGTGGGCGCACCCAGGCCTGCTGTGGCCAGTCCTGAAGAGGGTGGTCCTCGGGGCTGCCCTGAAGGAGACCCGCATCTCCCAGGTGGTGCCATGCGCTGGGGACCCAGCCCGTCCCCTCTGGGGGTGGGAAGGCCCAGGGTCCAGGGCTGGGCACAGCAGCGGGCGCCCAAAGAGCCCCCGGCCCCACACCCCACCCTGGCTGTCCCTGGGGTCTCCGTGGGCTCCCAGGGCTCCAACTGGGCCAACCGGGCCGACAGCCCACTCCCAGGAGTCCGCAGGGGCCCAGCTGCCCGCGCCGCGGGCCAGCGAGGTGCCAGCGAGCGTGTGCGCAGGGGCAGGGGCAGGGGCAGGGCAGGGGCAGGGCCTGTGCCCACGGCGCCGGCCAGCGGGGGCGGCTCCTGGTGCGCTGCAACGCCCGGCGCGGGGCCGCGGGGAGCGCGGCGCGGGGGGGCGGCGGGCGCCGGGCGGGCGCGGGCACCGGGGCAGGGTTCAGGGCCGCGGGAAGGGGCGGCGCCGGCGCGGCCGGGCGCCAGGACTCACCTCGGGCGGCGGCGGCCGGCGGGAGCGCCCCCAGGAGCAGCGGCGGCAGCAGCAGCAGCAGCGCGGGGCGCGGCGTCATCTCGCCGGCGGGCCTGGCGCGGCGCGGGCGGGCGGGGCGCGGGCCGCGGGCCCCCCGCCGGCCCCCCGCGCGCGCTCGGGGCGGAGGCGGCGGCGCGGGCGCAGCCTGGGCGTCAAAGCAGACAAAGAGCTCACCCTGATGGCCGGCGCCCGCCCCGCGCGCCGTCCGGGCTCCCGGCGCGGGGCTCGGGCCCTGCCCGCGGGGCGCCCGGCCCGGGGCCCCCGGGCAACCGCCTGCGCCACGAGCCGACAGATTTGCGCCGGGCCACGTGGGGCGGGCGGGCGGGGCGCGGGCCGGGGCGCGGCGCCCCCCGGGCCGGCCCGGCCCCCCGCGCCCCGGCGCGCCCCGGCCCCCGGTCTCACCTCGCGGAGCTGGGGGCGACGGCTCAGGGCCGGGCCCGCGGGGGCGCCCCGCGGTCATCGCGCCCCGGGCGCCGCCCCGCCGCCCCGCGCCCCCGGGCCCGGCCTCGGGACGGGGACGGGGACGGGGACGGGGACGGGGACGGGCGGCGCTGCCTGGCGCGGGCGGCTCGGGCCGGCGCCGGGGTCGGGGCGGGGCGCGCGGCGGCGCGGGGCGGCGGGCCGGGGCCGGGGTCCCGGGGCGGCGGGGCGAGGGGCCCGGGGCGCCGCGCCGCGAGGCGTCCTTCCCTGCGGGGCTTTGTCAACTCCCGGAGCGAGCGCCGAGCCCGCCGCGCGCCCCGCCCCGGCGCAACTTCCCGCCAATCGGCGCGCCCCGGCCCGCCCCGGCCCGAACTTTCCTCCAACCCGGCGCCCGCCCCGCCCGCCGCGCTCCGGGCCTTAACCCTCGCCGAGCGGGCGGCCCGCGGGCGGGGCGGGGAGCCCCGGGGCGCGCCCCGCCCCCGCCCGCCCCGCCCCGCCGCGCGCCCGCCCCGCCGCGCGCCCCGCGCCGCCAGGTAACGCGGCGCCCCCCACCCGCACCCCAGCCCGCGCCGGAGGCCCCGGCCTCAGGCGCCCCCGCTCCCCGAAGCCGGCCCTCGCCGCGCGCGGGGCCGCCCGACGGCCGCGGGGCTCCCGCCGCGCAGGGGTCAGCCCCGCCGCGCCCCAGCCCCCGCGGCCCCGCCGTGAGCGCAGCCGGAGCCCGGCCGGCGCCCGCGCTCGCCCTTGGCGGAGGACACCAGCCCGCCGCCCCCGCGGCTCCGCACCCCCGCCCCGCCCGCCCCGCGGCGGAGAGCCGCGCCCCAGCCTCACGGCGGGCAGGTGTCCCGCAGCCGGGCGCCGAAGCCGCGCCCGGGGGACACAGGCCCGCCACGCAGGATCGCCGCCAGCACCTGGCATGGCCAGGAGGGGGCCTGTCCAGCGCAGCGCTCCGGCCTCCTGCCGCCTGCGTCCAGCACCCACCTGGCACGCCCTGCCCGGCCCGGGGCCCCGCCCCGCCCCCACACCATCAGGGCCCGTCAGGGTCTCCCTGGCCGTCCTCTCTTCGCCCCCAGTGACCGGATCCGGCTCCCCAAAGAATCCTGATGCTGCTGTGGCTCCCCAGTGCCCCCAACACGTACTCCTCGGCCCCGGAGGCCCTGCCCCTCAACTCTAGCCGATTCCCGCCGCTGCCCAGCGCCCTCCATCCCTACTGACCCTTTGCCGTGCTGGTCCCCGAGAACCCTGCCTGGACCGCCTCTGCTCCAGGGCCTCTTCCCGGCAGCCTCGGGGAAGACTGACCCGGGAGAGGCAGCAGGCAGGGTCCTCAGGGCCGAGGACAGCTGAGTGAGGGGTGCCGGCCAGCCGCATGTGGAGCCCCCAGGCCCTGCGGCAGGGCTCCCAGGCCTGCGTGGGCGCCTGGAGGGGGCACCCGCCTGTCCCCCACAGAGGCTGCAGGAGCCAGCCAAGACCTGCGCATCCCTTGTACTGGGTGGCCAGGCCGGCAGGCGGGGATGCGGCCGGCAGCGGGGCTCGGGCCCCTGAGGACCTGGGGCTGGGGCTGGGCAGTCAGGTGCCCTGGGCAGGTGGGCGGACTGTCCCGCGGGCGGAGGCCCCCAGCCTCCGCGGACAGGCCCGCGAGGAGTCACCACCGAAGCGTGAAGAGCCGACAGGTGTGCAGGCCGCCAGGGCAGGTGTGTGGAGGCTGCAAGGGTGAGAGCAAGAACCAGAAGTGGGCAGCAGAGGAGTGAGGAGTGCGGAGGCCTGGGGAGGGTCTTGGAGGCCGCCCGCCCGGTGGCCGTGCAGGCCAAGGCAGGGGGCGCTGTCAGGAAAGGGCAGGTCCTGGGGGCCCCCTCGGTGGGCAGCTCTGCCCCCTGGTGGCGGCACGGGGCATGACAGCTCCCCACGCCTGCTTCCTCCAGGAAGCCCTCCAGCCTGCGGGCTCCCCTGTTGCTCAGGACAGTCCGCTGGAGTTCTGAATGGGCTCAATGCCCCTGTGACACGGGGCCTGAGGCAACTAGCAGGCCTCTGGGTCTCAGCACCCCAACTCAGCCCCGCACACCCATATTGGGCTGCGTGAGCCCATGTCTGCCTGCTGGCGCGGGCAGGCCCCAGGGCGTGCTGGCCGCTCCGAGTGGCCAGACCTGCCCCGTGGGGGTGGGCTGGGGCTCCGTGCAGGGAGCATGCCCGGCCCCCCGGCATCCTCTGCTCCTGAAGAGCTAATGGACGGGGCTGGCTCTCCCTGCAACAGCGAAGACAGCAGAGGCGGACACAGATTCAGCAAGACTGGGCCCCCGCCATGAAGGGGTCCTCAAAAGACAGGGGCACATGCGGGGCCCCGGCTGTGCTGCTCCTACGGGGGTGCTTTGAGGGGGAGGGACGCAGATGAGCCCTTCTCGGATCCAGAGTCTGCTGGGGACGGGGTGGGGTCGTGACACTGGGTGAAGGGAGAGGTCACAGGGGCCAGATGTCTCCCCACTGGCTGTCTCCTGCAGGAATCTCCCTTCTCCCCGCTGGCACTGCAGTGGGCAGACCGTCAGCCCACGCGCACCGGTCACCGTCCATGCCACCCCTGCACCCCCCTCCCTGGCAAGGCCTCCCCTGCCTGCCTGTATCCACCCCAAATCCAGCACGGAAGAGGTGCCCAGTGACCAGTCCTCCGAGGTGGACAGTGGAACAAGTGCACCCGCCCACTGCCTGCTGTCCGCCTGCTGCACCAGCCTTTCCCGCACACCCGGGAGTCCGGGGCCGGGACCGGGCCCGCCCGCAGGGCACACCACCTTGAACACAGAGGCAAGAGAGTCTTCACTTTTTAGTTAATGAAGTTGTGTACAGAGGGGGCCACGTGTCCAGCAGGGCGGAGTGCCCGGGTGCAGCGTGGGGCAGCATCTGGGAGGCCCCACCGCCTCGCCCACGCCAACTGGAGGAGGCAGGGTCCAATCCACAGGCCAGAGGGTGCAGCCAGGCCTCCCCCTCCCGACTAAGGCACAGCTCAGCGCCTCCGGCTGCCGGCCCCTCCAGGGCACCGGGGTCGGCTCAGCTGGGGGCGCTGGGCAGGCTCCGCCACCGTCAGGGCCCCACGCGGGTGCAGCTCGGCCGTGCGCATGCTCCTGAGCTGCCCGGGAGAGGGGAGGACGGGCGGGCGAGGCGCCGCCACTCCGCGCCGGGCTGCTCTCCCTCCACTGGAGAGCTCGCTGCGGCCTGGCCCTGGGGCTCCGGGGAGGCTCTTCCCACCATGGCTCTGCCCAAAACACGTCAGGGCGCCCAGGGTGCGGGGAGAGGAACCCCGCAAACAGGCTGCTGCAGCTCCCCCAGCCCATGCAGGGCCTCCCCTGCTGCGGGGAGGAAGGGCAGCCCCACGCGGCCCTGGCCCGGCTCCCCGCGGCCTCTCAGAGGCCTGCCCCAGCCAGCCCTGCGGCCCAGGCCCCAGACGGGGGCTGCGACCAAGGCCCACGTGTGCGAAGGCCCTTCAAGGGGCGGGGGTCACAGCGGGTCCCGGGCTCCATCAGCAGTGCCGGGGCGCGGGCCCTGGGGCCCCCACGGGGCGGGAGAAGGGGCCTGGCCGGGCCCAGTAGTCCACGGCGCGGACGCGGTAGCAGCCGGAGACGACGCCGGAGTCTGGAACAGAGAGCGGCGGCTGTCCAGGGCTCCCGGCCCCACCCCAGGCGCCCTCCCTCCCAGGCCGGGCAGGGCCCAGGGCCGGGCTCACCTGGGCTGACCACGAAGAGGTTGAAGGTCGAGGGCTTCCTGCTGAGGGGCCTGTAGGCGGCTCCGTCCGGGGCGAACTGGATCTCGTAGGTCCACAGGCACCTGGGGCCGAGACCGCGCTGGGCAGAGGACGGCCCTTGCCTCCAGCCCCGCCCCCCGGGGCCAGCAGCAGCCGAGGGTCCCTGCACGAGCCACGCCCGCGCGCCCGAGGGCGGGGAGGTGCTGGGCAGTGGGGGCCGGGCAGGGGCCGAGGTGAGGGCGGGGGGCTGGGGCGGGGGGGGGCGTTCACGCACTTGGAGCCCACGAGGTCATCCGACCAGACCAGCAGCAGCTGCCCGCGGGTCAGGGGCAGAGCGCGGAGCCGCGTCACCTGGCGAGAGAGGGCGCGGCAGGGCTGAGGGGGGGCCGGGCTGGGGGGCGGGGGGGGCGGGGTGGGGGGGCGCCCACTTGCCTGGCCGGGCGGCCGCGCGGGCCGCGCGCACACGTGCAGCAGCAGCAGCGAGGGCAGCGGCAGGCGGGGCCGCAGGGTCAGGCGGCCGCCCGCGGGGAAGGGGCGCGGAGCGGCGGCCACCGGGTCCTGGGGACAGGCCGGGCCGTGAGGAGCCGGGCCCTCGAGCCCTCGAGGACGCGCCCCGGACCCGCCGCCGCCCCCCCCCACCGCCCCGGGCGCACCTCGGCCGCGCGCATGCGCCGGAACTGCTCGGCGGAGGGGAAGACGGGCCGGCCGAGGCGCCGCCACTCGGCGTGGGGGCTGCAGAGCCGGTTGTCCAGGCGCAGCGTCACGTACACCAGCCCTGCCGGCGGCGCACGCTGGGACCGCGCCTCGCGGGCCGGAGCCCCCCGCGCGCCCACCCGGCCGGCCCCCCCCGCGCGCCCTCCCGGCCGGCCCCCCGCCGCCCTCCCGGCCGGCCCCCCGCGCGCCCACCCGGCCGGCCCCC